ATTATATGATTACACATTGAAAACATGGCCAAAAAACATTAGTGGAAATTGTGTGCACACACATAAACAACATTCTATATGTGTATTACATGGTATTACATACTAATTTAGTTGTTCGTATATTTTTATGAACTATAAATATTGTAGTGGAAAGCTCGAAAACTAACTAAAAAACAAAGTGTAAAGAATATTTTTGTTTTATTCATTATCGATTGAGTTAGTAGTAAAAGTCATATTAAAATCGTATAAAAATAAACTTTCACAAATTCCTTTTGATTATTATCATTGACGATTTAATGGGTTATAGATATGGATATTAAGTTTGTCATTATTATCTGGATCATTATCGTAATGACATCAGTAGTTAATGATATCAGTATTATATATATACACATACAATATGCAATATTATATCATATCTATAACTTCATATCATTATTTTCTAGATCATTATTGTACAACAATTTTTTTCAGAAATATATACGCAATTACAATATCATTATTACAGTATTGTAACCATTGCAAGTCAATGTTTTTACTGCTTTTTGGTATTCCCACAAAAAATAGGTAATTTGCTTGTAGGTCAATAGTAATTATTGTAACGACTGCTTTCTGTTTGTTAACACGTGGAAAAAGCAAAATTAGCTTTGCGCTGATCATTATTCATTAGAATATCCGCTTGCTGACATGTTGCAAGTCGAACGCTAATTGAAATCTGTTCAACAACTAATGCTTTTTTTTTGGCAACACAAATTGAAGAACTATGGTGATTTTGCACTGCAAGAGATGCGAACTGTTTGCGCCACAGCCAATACTCGCTAGTGATAAACAAAAGCACCGTTAGACGACGGGCGCATATGTTGTTGTTTCGTATGTATTTTCATTACTTTTCTGTGCTATTTTTTGTGTGTTTTTGTTTCCCGCATGTTTGTTATAATCAGTCGCCGTTTTGCCGGCTCGCTCTGGCGCTTTTCTAAGCCGCACAGCATTCTGCTTTCTTTTCTTCTACACGCTCGAGTGTGAGGGTGTGTGTGTGTTTATATAAAAGGGTACACATGCATACATACATATATGAGTATATGTTTTGTGTGCATAGCAATGGCAACTTTGTAGTCGACACATGTCAATTTTCACTGTTCTGTTTGCCTTGCGTCTCTGTCTGCTTCGCTCGTTAGCTGAAAATGCTTAAATCGCTTAATGGCTTGCATGCAGATTGTGAAAGAAGCACAAGAAGGGAAAGAAGAAGTGGAGGAAGAGAAAAGCTAACTAATTTGCTGGCATAACACAAACAATTAATCCACTTGTAGCCTTTGTTTTTGATTACTGTACTTTAGTGCTAAAAGTGTTCGCGAGCGAGATAAGAAAGAGCTAAGAAGCCAATAGAAATAAATATCGCCAGAGTCGAGCTCAACTTTTGGCTTTGACATTTGAAAAGCTTTTTTGATTGTAGATTTTTTTAATGACCTCTGAGCTGCGTGGGCAGGCGCTATATAAAAAAATGTATATATATGAATGTATTATGTATGTATATATAAATAGGAATATATAGCTTAAAAGCTTTACGCCTCTCCTTTAATATTCATGAATTCATTCATACATTCAAATGAACAACCATCAGACAGGCAAGCAACCAAAATGAAATCGAAATCGACAAAATGTTTGCTGTGTGGGTGCCAGACAGCAGCAACAACAACAACAAGAAACGAGCTCACCACATGCAAAACAAATGCATTCATTCATGCAGTTTTACTTTTGGCTCAAAGAGGCCAGTTTATAACTTTCAAGAGTGGCTGCCTCTTGAAAAACGTTCCCAGCAACAACTAAAACAACATCTACAACAACAACGATGATGCGTTGGCGTATGTAAACAGCAAACAGCAAACAGGCTCGGCCAGACTATCAAGCATTATATATACATACATAAATATATGTATAGTTGCCGTCGATGTAGTTGTATATATATAGTATAAAGACTGTCTTCTATTGCCCAAAAGCATAATTAAAAACTACATGGCTCAAAGAGCAAAGTAAACAAAAAAGCAAAAAGTTGCACAAAAGTTTACATAGATGTTGTTTCTATTTTATTTTCTTACGTTTGCAATTGCAGAACAATGCGAGTTTTATGTTTATATAGTTGGAGTGAATACACATTTGCCTCATATACTGAAATATTGCTTGGGGTATTTCTGTCTGCCAGTTTAGCTTTGAAAAAAGACTAAATGATCATCACTGGCACTTATTCCTGTTCTCTGCTTTCAACCACACCTAGAAATCCACCACGGCCTTCTCATTTTAACATAAGTTAGTTGAAATTCACCAATGTCAACATCAATCAAAGCAATCAAAGTGATTAAAGTGCGTTATGGAAAAGAAAAATCAAATTAATTTAAAATAATTAGAAAAGTTTCTTATCATAAGACGAACCAATAAAGTTCAAATAATTATTTATTTTTCTTTAAGTTTTTCGATACAACAAAAAATACACTAAGATAAAATAAAATGGAACATTCAATTTAAATTGATTAAATAAGATATACAGATTAATTGTGCATATGCTGACAAGGGTATTTAATTTTCGGCACAGATCACAAATCAACTCTGTGCTCTTGCCTTAAAATTTGTGCAGTTTTGTTTGCTTGTTGAAATCAGCCGAAAGGCACAGGCCAAAAAAGAAGAAAGGAAAAGAGGAAAAAAAATAGAAGCAAGTACAAGCAGGAACCCGGGGCAGCTGTTGATATTTAACCACATTTCTATCTCTCTGCTTCTCTCTCTCTCTCTCTTTCCTTTACACCGTTAGTCTACCAAGACTCTATTTCGCTTCCAGTCTCTTTTTGGAACACAGTTGCACAGGTGCAGCAGCAGCAGTTGAATGGTTTTCGGGATTCGGTTACACATTTGCTTGCTAGATGCGGCCAAGGAGGCATCAGATAAACATGAAACAATGAAAATGTGCCAAGTGCAGATATATTTGCGTAATTGTATATACCACAGAAATTCCAAGCATATCAGATTAACATTAAACTACAAACTATAAGAAATAGAACTCTAACGGGAAAAAAAGGAAACTTGCTGCTGCAATGCAAATAAATAATACGCGAAGCAGTCGCTAATTTGTATTATAATTTCTTGCTTAAGCAATACAACTAAAATATTACATTTCCTTTAAGCTGTAATAACAATTTCTATGCATTTTTTTTATTATATATACTTTAATTTAGTTCTAATCAGTTCCTATCCCGAGGCAAAGTCGATTGAAAGGTAAGCAAAAACCAGAGCAAAAGAAAACACACACACATACACAAAAACCATCGCCCACAAGGGCGTCAAGTAAACATGCGATAAGGAAAAGAGATAGAGAGTGAGAAAGAGGGGGAGAGCGAAAACAAACTGAAATTATAATTAAACAACTTTTACACATTTATGACTGGTGCCGGCCGTTATGGTTCCTGCGCAGCGATTTCCACTGCGAAATGGAGACATAAACGAAAACCCGCAGTTGTCGTATCAAATACAACAAACAAATAAAATAAACAACCCCATTTCAGATTTCTCTGCTACCCCAAAAAAAAGGTAAAAAATGGAAACCTAGAAAAACTGATTGAATACGGATACGAATATAATAGAGCTGAACAAAAGTCAATGAACCCTCCGTCGCCGGATGCTGTATTTTGGGGCACCACCAACGCACTTGTGATTATTCCCCTATTATTGTTATTGTTGTAAAAAAGGGGGGAAAGAAAACCAGAGCAGCAAAAGTTAATAAGTAACCCACGCATAATGCAAAAATTATGGAGCTAAAAATGTGCACATTAGGACAGGGCACAAAAAGAAAAACAAACAAAACAAGCAGCGAGAGGTGAGAAGAAGAAGCAGACGAAAAGCAGCAGTGCTGTAAATACTCGAATAGAGATGAGAGCGTGTTTGAACCAAGTAACATATATTAACACAAAAAAAATCTAAGTATTATTATTTCTCGAAGCTATCAATAATAATGTAGTTTCCTCTTTTTTATATTTATTTTGTACATATTTATTTAGATGCACTATTTATTTGCATGCACGAGCAAGTCGTGTCACGAACAGTGTTCACATCTAGTGGCGAGTGCTTGCACTTGCGCAAATAGCGCGACAAACTTCAGAAAGGGAGCACAAAATTACTGTTCATGTTGTTGGTTTTGTGTTTGTTGCCGCTTTGCTGCTGCTGCTTTTTTTTTTTGGCTGGCAATGAAAGGAGTTTTCACTGGACTGGAATTGGCACTGGAATAATGCCTTGGAATATACTATCTGGAAGCTGTTTTTGTATGTTATTGTTATTGTTGTTGTACAACACTCAACCCAATTACATTGGCCAAATCATTTTCATAATTAGCACACTTGAAAAGGGCCACACAAGCAAAAAGAAAGAGAGATAGGAGATGAGATGAGAGAGCGGCAACAACAAAAACATGTTAAGTGCAAGAAGAAGCACACTTAAGCGATACTCACGTACAATGAAATTGCATTCAATTCGGCATTGTGAATTTTATCTGCCCAAAATGCATTCAGCATCCCAGCAAGCAACAGCAGCAGCGTTTCCTCCCCTTTCAACCGGTACCGGTGTGTATATATGTGTCTGTTTATGAGTGTGAGTGTGTCTGTGTGTGTGTGCTCGTCACGGTCGCCCGCTGTTGTTGTTTTTGTTGTTGGGCTGCAGCGAATTCCAAGCGGCAAAAGCGCACAAAAAGAGAAGAGAGTTCTTGCCTCTCCTTAATCTCTCCACTCTCCACACCACGTCTCACCGTCTCTGTCTAACGTCGTCTCGCGGGGCTTTGGCTTTGTACAAACAAACTACCCTCCTAACGGTTGATCCTTACACAGTTGTTGTTGTTATTATTCTGGTTGTTTTTGTTGTACACACACAAGCACAGTAAAACATACACACACACAGCCAGACAGTGGTAATGTATGCATGTGTGTGTTGCATTAAATTATTCACTTAAGATTTTCAAATATTTGGCTCACATTTATTTCTTTTCCTTTTGCAATTTTGCACCGTTTCGTTCTTTCTAATTTTTGAGCAAACAACAGTTAAAAGCTCTCGCTTAACAGTTATTTGTTGTGTGCAGTTTGCTTTCAATTTAGACAACAGCCGTTTTTAATTTGAATGCTGTTTCTGCTTTTGCTTCTGTCAAATTTGGTTTGCATTTTCGTTATTAGTTCACTTCGTGCAGACATTAAAAAAAAACAGCGAATAAACAACGAAACAGACGAAGTATATTGAATGCATTTACCGCAAACAGACGCCTTTCAACACAGACATACACAGATAATAATGCCGTGCGACTCAATCCAATTTTCTTACACACACGCCGATCTATAATGGCGCGCGATTTGCGCTATATCGAGCATTATGTTATCAAAAATAGCATTTAATTATTTAATACAAATGCACTTAAAATCGCGCGCACCGTTTGCCACACGTCTGATTCGCTCGGCGTTGTTTTTGCTTCTGTATGTCGATAAAAAATACAGTGTTCAACAGCGACAAACGATTTTCGATATCACAATTAAATCGATTATATTTTATATAAATTGTATCGATAGCTCATACACACGTAGCTAACTTCATGTGGCTCGCTAGTGCGTTGTTTGAATTTTGTAACGGAAATGACTATTTAATTAAACATTTCTTTTCCGATTTAATAACAATTACGATATTTATTTGTTCAATAATTTGTTTCTGATGTGGGTCATTTCGACAAACTTACAAGCTACAAAATTTAAGGTATCATCGTCAGCAGCATATCACACAAGCCTAGTGCTCACAAAATAAATAAAAAGTGCGCATATAAAAATACATAAAACAAACAAAATAAGCGTTTTGTACACAAAAACACAAAGAAAAACATTAAAAGTACCAGAGAAACAATTATAACTACCCTACCCGCTCCACACTGAGTTGTATTTCAGTTTTTGGCATTAACAACAATTTGCCATCATCATATTGCATGGGAATTTGTGTTTCGGCACAGGGGGCGTACTTGTGTTGCTGCAACAAGATGACGAGGCCAACCAGCAGCTGCTGTTGCGCCCACTGCTTGGCAATGCAACCGCGAAGACCCTCGCCAAAGGGCAGAAATGACATTGCGGGGCGAGCACGCATCGCAGCCGCCTCAAAGCGATCCGGATCGAATTTCAGTGGATCCACATAGATGGCGGGATCTCGATGGATGGCTGCTGTGGGTATAATCACATTGTTGCCACGCGCAATCACAAACACCGACTCCTTCAGCTCGAATTCCCTGGTAGCACGTCGCAGCAGAAAGGGATAAGGCGTATGCAAGCGAAGCGTTTCTGCAATCGAATAATATTTAGTAATATTTTATATATATTTAATTTAAATGCACGCACCATTCAAGACTTGAGTCGTGTACGTCAGCTCCTTGAGCAACTCAACTGTTATTTGTCCATTATGTTGGAGCAACGTCTTCTCAATCTCGGAGCGGACGCGTTCCTGCAGCTCCGGCTGCAGTGCCAGCTCATACAGACAGAAGCCGAGGGTGGCATTTAGCGGTGTCAGCCCGGCCAATATGAAGCCAAAAGCCTGCGCCGCAATCTGCTCATCTCGCAGCGATGGCTCCGTGCGCGAGTAGAGCTGCATAAAGTTCTGCAGTGGCTGACGATCCCGGCGCCGCTGCTCCTTCAACTGCATCTGCGTCTGTTGCAGAAAGTAATCCGTTGCCAGTTCGGCGTAGCTTTTGTGCTGCAACAAACGGGCGAGCAGTGGAAACTCCAGCGACAAATAGGCGCGCCACAGACTCCAGTTGCTCCAATAGCTGCTGGTCATCGCGTGAAACTGCGACACATCCTGCCCGACCAAGCCATAAGCCAGCGCGGCAATCATTTGCACATTATAGTTATCCACAAGTTGGCTAACATTCACGTTCCTTAGTTGCTCCGCCTCGGCCATTTGGCGCTGGAAACTCTTGGCCACATCAAGCAGCCTGGGCAGCAGCTTCTCCATGTTGATGGGCGTAAACACGCAGCTGGACTGCGAGTGCAGCGTGCGCCACTTGTGCCCGTCCAGCTGGAGGAGATTGCCGGACAAGGGTTCGCCGCTCTCATTGTGATACAGGCCACGACTGGTGAAGTAACCATCATGTGTGTGCAGCACATGCCGCACCAGCTCCAGATCCAGCAGCAATACAAATGGCTTGAGCAGCGCATAGCAGCCAATGAAGGGCGCTCGTCCCTTATACCCCTCATAGATGCACTGAAGCGTGGCACTCACATGTTGTCGCTTGCCACCGGCCAACACGCTCTTGATGTTGCCCCACAGCAGCTTGGGTTTCTCGTGTAGAATGCCCCGTCGCTTCCAATACCCCAGACGGAATTTGATCAGTGCATAGAGCAGCGCCAAGGCACTCAATGCTGTCCACAAAGCACGCTGAATTACATCCATAGCCAGTAGCCAGGTCAGTGGATCAGTGGATCAATGGTGCTCCTTTAATACTTATCTCTTAACTGGTTGCTTGTCTTTTACAGGTTCACGTTTTGGCAGTGGATTTTTAGTTATTTTTTCGGCCCGATTGGGAATTGTTCAGTGCCACTGAATGCTTATCAGCGCCATCGTCATCGAATAACAATTTAAGTATATATATGTGTGAGTGTGTATGTGTTTATCGTGGCTTATCAATTGATTCGATCCCTGGCCATAGCGTGTGCTGAAAGAGAAAGACAAAAAAAATATAACTTTAAATTCTCTTTGCAACAATTGATAGCTGCATTTTACCGGGCTTACTGCCAGTTAAAATTGTTTAATACAAATATTTGAATTTAATTAGTTTGACAAGTGCAAAATGTAGCTGCCTAGAATAGTAAATTCATCTATATAAAAATCTGTTTCTGTAATTAACAATGTTAATTTCAAATCTTTATGAGGACAAATGTAGAATGCAGATGCCAAAAATAGTAAATTCTTCAATTTATAGTTAAATATTTTCAAATACAAATGCTTGGAATTTTGAAAAATACAATTAACAATATTAATGTTATTATAAAAGATATATAAAAACACATGAAATGTGTATTTAAATGCATTCACATTTAAAAAAAAAATTGAATTAGTTAGGCAAGTGCAATATGCAGCTGTCTGTAATATTAAATTCTTCTATTTATAGTTGGCTATTTTCCAATACAAATGCTTAGAACGAATGTTGATTTTTAAAAATCAATTTCTTCTTCTATTAATGTTAATTTAAAAGATCTATGAAGAGCCATGAATAGTGTGAAGTTTTTAAATACATTCGCAAGAAACATAATTATTGTAGATTAATAGACAATCTTGAAAAGTTCTAAAAAAAAGAACTGCAAACATTTTGTAAAGCACCCTCGATAAAAAATTGAAAATGTGCTAAGCTTATTTTTGAAGTATAAAGCAGAGATTATAGGCGCTCTCTTCGAACTCGCTTATGTGCATCCAGCGCACGTAGCCCTTGTGAATGAGCTGCTCCTTGGAGCTGGGCACGCCCGAAAAGTGCGGATCCTAAGAAAAAAACAACAAAAAGAATGTGAATTTATCTTAAACCGGTTTCAAGCGATTTACTACTTACCACAATTAGAAGCGATACGCCATCCGACTGGCTCAGATGAATGCCCGCAATACCCTTTGAGGCCATGTCGCTCATGCCGCCCATGGCAATGAAGCCGCAATATTCCTCAAAATATTTACGAATTTGCTCAATGATCTGCTGCGAATTTAATTGCTGAACGTGGACAATTCTGCAAGGCAGATTTTCAAAGATGGCGTCGATGACATAGAACTCCTCCAGGGTGCCAATCCAATCGCGTGAGCCAATAAACCGGGAGGGCTTGTCGCCAATCTCGACCAGCGTGCGCTGAATCTCCTCAATCGATGGCACATTTTGCGTCATTTCCTGGTTGCGTTTGTTGATAATCCATGAAATGGCCGTTTGCAGTGTGCGATAGCCGCAGCCCCAACCCGTGTCCAAGGTGCCATCGCAGCCGTAGTGGAAATAGTTGAACTTGCCGCGCGTGTAAATCGTCTCACCTGGACTATGGACGGGCGCATGGAGAGTCAAATGAACATTTTTGAGCAATGCGTATTTATAGGTTTTGGCAACAAATTTGTTTAGTTGTTGATTCTGCGTCGCAGCGAGTTCACAGGTTGTTGTTGTCGTCATTGTTCGAATTAATGCACAAATCGACAGCTTGCCGTCTATATCTATATATATATATTTTGATTTATAATTATTTATTTACCTTTTGGCTACGTTGCCACAATTACAATTAGAAATTTAGAAATCATCTGCTTGCAATATTTATTTGCTGCCCCGATAACGATAACGATTTGTACATTGCTCCCGATAGCTGTGAAATGCATTTCGTGCACATATCGATAAAGATGGTCATTTGGCGCTTCATTTAAAACAATTTATGGGATATATCGCAATTGTTGTGTACATTTATATTCAAAATTTAAACCTTACTAAAAACCTTAAACACTATGCATTTATTTAGATGTACAAATATGGGTCTAGCTAGCTTGATGTAAAAATTATCGCCACAAATATATATATATATATACATATATAACTATATATATATATTTAGCAATATAAACAAATGGCCCGAGTGCAAGAGAGAACGCTTTGCGTCCATTTATCATATTTTTTTCGTTTAGCTTAGAAAAAGTCCATTTTGCCGTAATTAACATCCAGAATATCATCATCATAGCTGACCAGCTCCTTAAGGCCCGCCGCCGTCAAAGCAGCTTTCGAAGTGGAGGGCAGATCAGCGCTATCCACCAGATTAATATTGATCTCATGGGTCTTATACTCGGGACTGCTCTGCTCCTGGCCAACTGGCGAAGGCGGCGGATTGGACACTAATTGGACACGCAAAAGAAAGCAGGTTGTTAATCAGATTATTATTATTATATATAAACGGAGTTACTCACAATTGCCTGGCTGAATCTGTGCAATGGATTCAGCGCCTTGCAAATAGTGTTCCTTGCGTGCATTTAATGAAGGCAATTCGGTGCTCTTTTCGCTCAAACATTTCTTCAGCTCCTCAACCTTACGATCTCGTATCAGTGTCTCGATCTGTTTACGGGATTTGTTCTCATTCTGGCGATCATCGGCGAATATCAATTTTTGATGCGCTGGCGTTATTTTATCGTGATGCTTCAACAGAAACAGAAATACACCGCCAGGTGTGCGACGACGTCTGCCATTCTAAAAGATTAAGTCGCATTCGATTAGGGATTTGTTATTCAAATTTGTGTCACACTCACTTTGATCATCATGCCGCCATCTGCCTCGATGCGCTGTGTTTCCTTATATAGCTCCAGGGGCACATCTATGCCAAGCACCTTAACAACTCGCACTGAAAAAATAAACATAAATTTATTTAAATAATTTTCTTAATTATTTAAATGCATTTGAAATGCTCACCCAAAAGTTCGTCTTTGTCCTCGTACAGTTTGTTGGCCATTTCTCTGGCCACATCGCTTGGATCGCGTCCGGCCGTCTCCTGCAAATCGAGTATGTGCCGCGGCTCACCCGAATTATCCGAGGAGCCGCCACTGGTGGAGGAATGGCCACGACGCGAGCGCGAACGTTGTCCAATTCGTTGCTTCACCGATTGCCTCTCCTCCCGCTGGCAGCTGTCCAGCGCGGGGCGCGTGGATGGCCGACCACGCTTATGGGCCGGATGGGAGCGCGTCTCCTCCTCCTCGGATGAGTTGGAGAGGCGACGCTTGAGCGTATTCTCACCATTGACACGGTATTTTAGCGGGAAATCATAGTTCTCAACATTGCGATCGCTGCTGCTGCGCGTCACATCGCAACCACGCATATTCTCGCTGAGCGCCTCCTCCTGCAGTGCAGCCGTCCAAACGTTGTATTTCTTGAAACGTGCCCGATTCGGTTCTGCATCTGTGGGCGGCGGCACACGGACCATAACGGTGCGTCGAATGCGCCTCTTGCGCTTCTTATGACCAACCGTTGAGGGATTCTCGGTGCGCAGCTTCTTGATGCAGCCCTCCTCGGACGATTCGCCACTAGAGGACTCACTGTTCGACTGCGACTCATCGTCCAGGGCGCTCTGGATCTGATGGCATGTGGCCAAGGGGCTGGCAACGCTGCTATCCGCTGCGTCCATTGCAGCAGGTGTGCTGCTTGTGGCAGGCGTTGCCGTTGCCGGTGCCGGTCGCTGGAGCGGCGTATAAATATCTTCGTCATTGCTCGCTGACAGCTGCATAACGTTGGCGCTTGTTAATTACCATTTAGTGAGTTATTTGTTGCAATTACTTACTTCGCCATCCTCTAAATCAATGTCGTCGTTGGACTGCAGGTCCATCATCTTGCAGGAAAAAATTAATTCTACTGCGGCGCAACGCAGTGTTGTAAAACGTGCGCAGATATGCAATTGTTTCCACTGCTTTTACCGAGTTGCTGGCCGAGTTTACGTTTTCAAAATACATAGTTTTTAGCTGGCCAGCTTGTGTATTTAGCCAGAATTGTTTGTTTGCCAATAATTGTTTTTATTTTACAGTATAGCAGCATACTTAAAACAGCTGTTTGGCCTGGTCGGTACAGTGGAAACACCTCAATTGAAAATACAACATAGTGGCAACTCTGTGTGCAGGAAGAAGAAGAAGACACGTGCATTCTTTTAGCCAATTTTTTCAAGACGTAAAGTTGACGTCTGAAAAAAATGGTGCGGCCCAACAATCAACTGCCGGAGAATCTGCCGCAGCTGCAGAATCTAATCAAACGTGATCCCGAATCTTACAGCGATGAGTTTCACACGCAATACGAGCATTTTCTCAGTCTGCTCGAGATCTTCTCCCTGAATCCGAGCGAGGAAAACAAATCGTTGGACGAGATTTGCATGTTTATTGCCCAGGTGGCCCAATGCTATCCGCACGTCTGCCAGCAGTTCCCCAAGCACCTGACCGACCTTCTGCGGAACAGTGCCACCGTTCTGGACCCCGCAATGCGCAACTGTTTCGTCAAAGCGTTGATTCTGCTGCGCAATAAGAATCTGGTGCCTGCTTTGGACATATTGGAGCTGTTTTTCCAGCTGTTGCGCTGCCAGGACAAGAATCTGCGCACCTTCCTGCAGACGCACATTGTCACTGACATCAAGAACATGAACGCCAAGCACAAGGACATGAAACTCAATTCGGTAAGCAAACTGATTGACGCCCCTCCTCCACTTGCTTCAGCAATCGCTATAAATTTAAATTTGAATACCTTTTGACAGAGTCTGCAGAACTTTATGTACGGCATGCTGAAGGACGCGAATCCAAAGGCTGCCAAAATGTCCGTGGACATTATGATTGATCTATACAAGAAGAACATCTGGAACGATGCCAAGACGGTCAACGTCATCGCCAGCGTTGGCTGCTTCTCGCCCATAACCAAAGTAGGCTCTTGGCTTCATCTTGTTTTATAGTCATTAATCGATTTTTATGCTCTTTTTAAGGTGCTCGTCACATCGCTAAAATTCTTTTTGGGCCACGACGATGAGGATGAGGCCAACTCGGATTCGGGCAGCGACAACGAGGTGGATCTGAAGGGTGCCCTCATGCAGAATCGGGTGAACAAGAAGACCAAGAAGCGTCAGAAGCAACTGCAGCAGATCAAGAAACAGGCCATCAAGGCACAAAAGAAAAAGAAAAATGCGCCCGTCTTCAATTTCTCCGGCATACATCTAATCCACAATCCGCAGGGCATGGCTGAGGGTCTGTTCAAGCAGCTGCAAGGCACCAATGATCGATTCGAGGTTAAGCTAATGCATCTAGACGTCATCTCCCGCCTGATTGGCATCCACGAGCTCTTCCTCTTCGGCTACTATCCATATATCACCCGATTCATGCAGCCGCATCAGCGCCAGGTGACGCGAGTCCTCCAGTTTGCGGCGCAGGCATCCCACGAACTTGTGCCCGGTGATATTATCGAGCCCATTTTGAAAACGATTGCGAATAATTTCATCACAGAACGCAACTCTAGCGATGTGATGGCGATGGGCTTGAATGCATCGCGTGAGATTTGCATGCGTTGCCCCCTGGCGATGGGAGAGGATCTGCTGCAGGATCTGGCTATGTATAAGACGTACAAGGAGAAATCTGTTATGATGGCCGCACGCTCCTTGATCACTCTGTATCGGGAACAGCTGCCGGCGCTGCTCCACAAAAAGGATCGGGGACGACAGACGGAGGCGCAGGCGGAGCGCAAAGTTCGGGCATATGGTGAACGTGATGTCCAGGATACGGTGCAGGGTGCTGAGGCGCTGCTCAAGGACTCCAAAATGATTGATTTGGGTAGCGATGACGATGACACCGATTCCAATGATGGGGAGTGGGTGACGGTTACACACAGCGATAACGAAGCAGCTGGCGAGGATGAGGACGCGGCAGCCACTGATAGCGATGAGGAAGAGGATGATGAAGAAGATGATGAAGATGAGGAAGATGATGAGGAGGAGGAGGAGGAAGATGATGAGGAGGAGGAGGAGGAAGACGAAGAAGAGGCCTCCGATGAGGGCGTGCGACGCGACGGTGACGCTGCTGAAGGCAAAGAAGCCGCCAAGTCGGATAAAAAGGAGAAGGCCAATGTGAAAATGCTTAATCAAAAGGAAGCTGCACAGGAATTGGCGTTGACGCGCATCTTCACCGACGAGGACTTCAAGCGCATCAATGCCGCCAATTTGAAGAAGACGGTGACCAATGCCAGGAAGCGACCGCTGGAACAGGATCGTGCCGAATTCGTGAAACTGAGCAACATTGAGATGATCTACAAGAAGCGCAAACACGACAAGGAGTCGCGCCTGGAGACGGTGATGGCGGGCCGCAAGGATCGCGATCGTTTCGGCTGGAAAGATGGACGCGTCAACGAGAACTCCTCGAAGACCAACAAGGAGAAGAGCAAGACGAAAAACTTTGGCATGATGCGGCACAAGGCGCGCTCCAAGGTAAAGAAAAGTTTCCGCGACAAGCAGATGGCGATGCGCAAACATCTGCTCCAACAGAAGAAGATGAAATAAATCCAAGGATCCAATACATTTTATTTCATTTATATATATATGTATATATGTTAAGACAAGTGGGGATTTTTATTTGCTAATGTTATGCATAATAAATATAATCGCTTGGGCCACCTTATCTGCGTCGCTTCTCCGACTTTTTGACACGCTTGGGTCCCTTGACGAAACACCAATCGACCTGGATGGTCTGGCCCATGATATCGGCGCCATGAAGCGCCTCCTTGGCGGCAAGCGCCTGCTTGTGCGTCTCGTACTCTACAAGCGCATAGCCCTTGGAGAAGCCCGTTCGCCGATCCAGATTCAAGTGAATGTTTTTTATCTCACCGTAGTCGCAGAACTTCTCCTGGATCTCGTCCTCCTGCGCCTCCTCGTGAATGGACGTCACAAACAGAATCCAGCCCTCGACTGAACGCTGCGGCCCTGGTTCCAGTTCATCATCGTCCTCGATGCGCACCCGTTCGTAACTGTGGATTGCCTCGCGCGTATTGCTGTCGCTGCCAAAGCCACGTCCCTTGCGGTGCTTTGCCTTCTCCTTCAAGCGCACAATGCCCTCTGCGTGGGTTGGTTTGGGTATTTTTGAGTGTTTAAATTGTTAAAGAGCAGCCGGTTTTGGCAAGAAAGAAACTTACGGTCGCCATCCTCGTCCACCTCAAACTCTTCGGCGTTGTCGATATCCAGCACATCAGCCATTTTCACTTTTGCTCTTTTTCTCTTTCAAACTTCTCAAACTTGGCTAACGTTTCGTTTTTTCTTTATATTTTCGTTAAATACTTTGCGGAGTTTTCTCCGCGTGTTGTTCTTGTTTTTTTCGGCGTTCTATAGCAAAGATGATGAACTGGTTAACTGTTCAAACGAACCGAGTCAGTTAAATTGGTATTAAAAATACCTAAACTTAAAAATAAATATACCTATATTAATTAATGACTTTTAACTTTCTCCAGTTTGATTAATATGTAGTTTTTCTTAATATTTTCGTTAAATATTTGATATAGTTTTCTTCGCGTGTAGCTCCTGTTTTTTTGCGGTAGATGATTGTTTAAAAGAACTGAATCAACTAACCTGGTATTAAATAATACTGAACTATTTATAGTATATTTTACTAACTATTATTTAATAACTTTTAACTTTCTCTGATTTGGTTTTTTAAACGTTCTGTATCAGAGATGATGAACTAGTTACCTGTTCAAACGAACTGAGTCAGTTAAATTGGTATGCAAAAATACTAGAACTTAAACAAAATTATAACAACATATTATTTAATAGCTCTTTAAATTATACTTTTGACGTAAAGATAAGTTTTTAAATTATATTGCCAATTTGCTAGTTAGCTTATACATATATATATATAAATCGATATCATTGCGTTGCGAATTAAAATGATAGCTTCGATATATTGCTGCAATTGTCAAAAAAATAGGCAAAGCTGGCCGGCAAAATGTTTCTATAGGTCAAATAAATTAACGCTGTGCGCGCAAATGTTCATAATTCCATGTAAAGATAAATTAAAAAGTTCACTTATAATGGCCAACAGCTGCATGCAAAGCCAGATATAGTTTAAGATTATGGGCGGCTAACGGATAGCGGTTAACAAATAGTTGTAAATGGATTAAAATAATCAACGGCTACAGGTAGGCAAAACACTCATATTTATTTACCTGGAATGTTAATAGCGGTAATAAACTGCAATTAGCAGCAAAAATATGTTGCTCAACAGCTGTTGGCCTGGACAAACATAGACAGGTATGCAGTATACTTATATATGATTGCATATATATATATATATATATATATATATATTACGCTCTCCCCCTCTCTCGCTCGCTCTCAGTTCACGATAACAAAATAGAATGGAAATTTATAGAATTTTGCGTACGTTTAAATGGCAAATGTTGCTGCGTCTGCTGCTCATTCCACTGTTTACCATGTCGGCGAGTGGTACTAAAACTGAGGACGGCGCTTGCCAACGGCATGTGTCGGATTGTGTAGCAGCAGCTAAAGATCAGGCTCGTTACGATCACTATCGCATCTACAATGTCCAATTCGATAATGTGGAGCAAATCGAGCTGTTCCAAAAATTGGAGGAACAAAGCGACAGTCTCACATTTATTGGCCACGCACGCGAAATTGGCCAAAAACTTTCCATATTGGTTGCTGCTCATCGTGTTGCTGACTTTGCGGATCTATTGCAGACCTATAAACTGCAGCATCGGGTTTTGGTAAACGCTTTTCAATTTAAATAGTATTTGCCAAATAACGAATCTCTTCGTTTCTGCAGACCTACAATTTCCAGGAGAAGATTGATCGCAATATGCGTGAAGTGTTACCGGAGGATGTGGATGTGGATAAGTACGATTGGCAGCACTTTTTCCATCTGAAAACCATTAATGGTTGGATGGAGCATATGGCTGCCAAGCATCCAGATCGGTTGAGTGTGCTGGATATGGGCAGCAGCACGCAAGGAAATCCGATTAAGGGCATCAAACTGGGCAGTAACCCCGAGAATAAAGCCATCTTCATTGAGAGTGGAATTCATGCACGAGAATGGATTGCTCCTGCAACAGCTACCTATATAATCAATGAGCTGCTCAACTCGAAGGATAAGCAGGTCCAGAATTTGGCCAAGAACTACAATTGGTTTGTTTTCCCCTGCGTCAATCCCGATGGATATAAATATACGTTTGAGCACGATCGCATGTGGCGCAAGAATCGCCAGCTTTTTGGCACCTGCCGAGGCGTCGACCTGAATCGCAACTATCCCGATCATTGGAACTCCACGGGATCGAGCAGTGATCCAACGCGCTACGATTACGCTGGCCCCAGTGCCGGCAGTGAACTGGAAACGAAGCGTCTAATTGACTTCATACGGAACAATGTGGCGAAGGAACAGATTAAGACATATATATCCCTGCACTCGTACTCACAGATGCTCATGTTTCCCTATGGATATACCAAGGAGCATGTGTCCAACTATGACGACTTGCAGGAGTTTGGCAAGAAGGCAGCGGCTGCCATCAAGGCGGAAAGTGGACGGGATTATGTTAGCGGGAATCTGTATGAGACAATCTATCCCTCGAGCGGTGGCAGCATGGATTGGGCTCATGCCGAGGCCGGCATACCCATTGCCTACACATTCGAGCTACGTGGTCCGCCCGATAGCCAGGATCTGTTCATTTTGCCAGCCGTCGAAATACAGCCGACGGCTAGTGAGGCATTTACTGCTATTCGCACTATTGTGGAAGCTGCTGCCGAGAAAGGTTACTATAAATGAGAAATTATATGATAATCTAGAAGAACCTAACATATAATTCTAAGTAAATTTCTGTTTTTACTAGCATTATAATCTTAAATAAACCCATATGTTTTATCACTTTGTGGCTTCTTACAAGTGAAAGATAAGAACTGCATTTGGGGCATGTGTATGTCTTTTTTATATATAAATATAAAGATAACAAAATGTGGTTTGTGTCGTGGTTGCCCTTATATACTTTCCATCAATGTACACATGTAATGTAAACAAATAAAATCAGTTTATATATGTAACGAGGATCGAAAAATCTTTAAAAATGCCGGGCTAAAAGCATTGCCCAAAATCTTAGCAAACTGGTGAAAAAAATAGTTATTTATCGCTGTCATCGATTAAAATTATGTTGGATAATGTGTTGAAATCGAAGTTGTAACTTTTAGTATTTTTTTTCGTCTGGATTTAGTTCATTCTGACGTTGACCTCACGCGGTCACACTGTACACATCCCTATAGGTCTCGGCAGAAACATATAGATTTTTTTTATTAAACACTCACTCAATTAAACAATAAAAACGACGCCGAATTAGTTACGTTTTTTATTGCTGTAACGTAGAATAAGACGCATCTATTTGATTTGCAACGTGTACGTGGTTAGGCAAAGCACACAAGCAAGCCAAAAGTGAAAGTCCCCAGAAAAAGTACAAAAAGAGAGATAGAGCGACAGTGAGTGAGAGAGAAAGAGAAAGACAGAGAGAGCGAGAGCAAGCGAGCGAACGGTGAAAAAGAGTCAGAGTCAGAGTCTGGGTGAGAGAAAAACGATTTTTTCAGAGAACAACGCGTATTTTCATATTTTTGCTGTGGACAACAACAGGGGAAACGAAACGTGTACACGTGTGTGTGTGTGTGTGCGTGCGTGAGTGTGTGTGTGAGAGTGTGCAAGTTGTGAACTGGTGAGTAAATTTTTTCGCCTGCCTCTGTGTGTTTGCAATTGGTATTTTTGTATATTTGTATTTGTTGTATTTGCATTCATTTCAATTGAAGCCGAAAATAATTCGAAAAGAAGCAGAAGCGAAAACCCAAAAGCCAGAAACAGCAAACGCAACGCGGCGCCAACAACAAGAGCAGCAGCAGCGATAACAAACGAACACAAAAAAAGAAAAGTAAAGGAAAACAGCAACAAAATCACCAACATAACAACACCAACAACAAGCGAGAGAGAAAGAGAGAGAGAGAGAAGACAGCCCGCTGCCGAAGACCGTCAAAATTGTGAGCCACAGCAGCAGCGAGCAGAGACCACCTTACAGCACCAGCACCTGCACCTTATTAGCTGCCACCACGCTCCACAAACAGCCAGCGATAATGTTCGTCAATTCGATGACGTTCCGCGGTAATCCGGCGAACTATCATCAACAGCAGCCGGCACTGAATCATCATACGCTGGCCGCCGCCGCTGCCCATCATCAGCAGCAGCTGCATCATCATGCCGCCGCCACCGGCCATCTCAGTCATGGCGTTGGCGGCGGCCATGCGGCCAGCAATCATTTGGCTGCTGCCGCCGTGCTGGGTCGCCATGGTCATAATTCACTGAATGCCGCTGGGCACACATCGACCTCGTCGCATTCGAGCGCTGGCGGCGCTCTGGCAAGTGGCAGCAGCGGTGGCAGCAGCAATAGTTCACCGGACAGCGGCAAGATCTACATCAAGAACTTGGAGCGTTCGATTGATAATAAGGCCGTGTACGAGACCTTCTCGGTGTTCGGCAACATTCTCAACTGCAACGTGGCCAAGGATGAGGAAGGCAACTCGCGTGGCTATGGCTTTGTCCACTTCGATTCCGAGGAGGCAGCTCGGGCGGCCATCGAGAAGGTCAACGGCATGCTATGCAATAATCAGAAGGTACATGTGGTCAAGTTTATACCGCGACGGGATCGGGAGCAGGAGAAGGCCACCCACTTCAAGAATCTGTACGTGAAGAATCTCAGCGAGGAGTTCACCGAACAGCATTTGCGTGAGATGTTCGAACCCTATGGCCGCATCACCAGTCACAAGGTGCGTTTATATTTATTATTCTTTACTTATCTTTTCTTTTTTCGGTTTTTCTGTTTTCTGTTTTCTGTTTTTTTTTTTTTTTTTTTGCTACTTACGAATCTGTTTTTGTGGGCGGGTGCTGGGGGCGGTGGGGTGCGTAAGCGAGAGCTGGTTTTGCTGCAGCCAAAACCATGTGGCACACTTTGGCTACTCAGCTCTTAAGAGGCCAACAGCGCTCTCTTTGCTCCAGCTGCGGCTCTTTGCTGCGCATGCCCGCCCTCAACAACCAGTCGATGTGTAGCAAAGAAATTGTGAATTGCAATTTCGTCTGCAATTCTTGTATTGTAATTGTAATTCATTGTTCAATTCAATAACAAATAACAATTGCAGCTGATGCTGGATGAGGAGGGACGTTCGCGACGCTTCGGATTTGTGGCATTCGAGAATCCACAATCGGCGCTGGCAGCCGTTATCGGTCTGCATGGCAAGCAACTGGGCGACAACAAGTTCTTGTACGTTGCACGGGCGCTCAGCAAGAACGAGCGGCAGCAGGAGATTAATCGCAAGCTGGAGGAGCGTAAGCGTCAAAAGGCCGGCCAAATATTCTACTACTAAATTCGGCAAATAAATAAATATTTGGTGGATGGCAGACAAAGCAGGCAGCAGAAAGGATCGGATCTATCGCCAATAATGCGAGCGATGCGAAAGTAAAAAATTAAACAAAACAAAACAAAACAAAAATACAGTCTATTTAGAGACCCCAAAAAATACAAACACACATACAACATACAAACACCCAGAAGCTTATGCCTATATATACTATATGTATATATAGTTATGAACAAGATAATATTAATATTGTGCAACAAACAGAACGATTTCAGACAGCAAAATGCAAGCACAGAAGAGACATGCATACTTGCGATCTGCAACCGTAGCACCATCAAAAAATAAGGAAAGCAATTCAAAAAACACACACATAACCATAGACACACCTCCCCCCACAACTCACACAGACAGCCAAGGATAAAGATTTCGAAAGAGAACATTTAAAAATTATAATGAAATCTATAAGAAAATTCACTAGTTTTTCTTGAACTTCTTTTCGATAAGATGTTTCGTCTCTTGTTGAGCTTCTAGCATCTAGCAAGAACAGAGTACGTACGCATACTTCTAAATACATTATAATACTTACTATATATGATAAAAAAAAAAAAAAAAAAAAAAAAAAAACGCAATTAGCAAGTGAAATCTAGGCGAGCGTCGAAAACAAATATATAGCTACCATGTCAGGTCATGGGCAAATAATGAATATTTACACATACTATATTAAAAAAAAAAAAAAAAAAACCATTTACCCGATTGATGTAAAATTCTATAAACAATTAAAGCACCCACTTTAAATATATAAAGGCAACAAAAAAAAAAAAAAAAGAAGAAAAAAATATTACACGCTGTAGTTTAAAAGCGTTTATAATAATACTCACACACACACACACACCACATCCCCCCTACTTACACTCTCTCTAATGCTAATAAAAAAAAAACACAAAAATAAAACAAAAAGCAGTAAACAATTTAAGAAACCTTAAGCAAACGCAAAATGGAAAGCACGAGGGAAACTCTTGTGTGTGAAATTGCAGTTTACATGAAAGAGTATTACATTTTTAAAAATAATTACAAAACATTTTTGTAATTTGTTGTAAATTGTTTCAAGTAGCTAACTTCAACATTTAACATCAGACAGGCAGTAACACAAAAAAAAAAAAACAAAACAAAAATCAATTTAGAAAGCCAAAAAAAAAAGAAGCAAAACCTAAATAAATGTATGTGTAACACAGTGCAATGTTTAAAAGTTTTTAGAAAAACATATACACCCACACTTATATAATGCAACAAAAATGGAAAATATGGGAAAAATAAAGAAGCAAGCGTGTAAACAAGCTCGGCACATTTATAATTAACCAGAAAAAAGCAAATACTACATAAATAATTTAAGATTATTGAGCTTAATTTTTAAAACATGTTTCAAAAAACGAAGGCAAAACTGAAAATGAAAAGCAAAAACAAATGAAAACAGCCCCAATAATAACTAAACACAAGAACAAATTTGTATAGTTAAAAACAGGTAACAGCAAAAACAAAACGATGAAAAGAAACAAACAAAAAAACAAAAACAAAAAAAAAACAATTGAAATATATAGTTATTAAATAAAAAGCAAAACCTTTAGAATTGCATAGACACACACAAACATATTTACAATAATTTATTATTTAACATATTATTTACTTTTTGCGTTTCGAGTTAAAGCGCTGCTAACAACAATGGTCAGCTAAGTAGAGCTAAAAATGAAGAAAATTATAATTTACAGGAAAATTATAGTATTAGAATGTACACACACTAACACACACGCAATATGAATTTAGAAAAAAGTAAACAAATATGCAAAAATATTTATGCAAAATGTACAAAAACAAAAAAAAAAGAAAACAAAAAAACAAGAAAACAAGAAACTTTTCGTTTGCAAAGCAAATGCGACATATGTGTATTTTTATCATTAATTGTAATAAAACAGAAACTTAATTGCTTTTGCAGAATTTAACTTAAACAAAAAACCAAACAAAATCCGAAAAAATATGAATAGTATGAGAAAAAAATAAAACATTGAAATATAACCTTTTATAGTACTAAATTTTTAGCCAGTACGAATTAAACAAAATGCAAAATTATACATGATACAATGCATATTTACAAGGCAAAACTCGAACAAAAACAAAAAAAAAAAAAGAAAACCTTAAATAAATGAACAGAATTCAAAATTTATAATAAATACTCGATTTTGCACGTTTTGCTAAATGAGACATTAATTACGTAAATAATAATTATGTTTTTTTTTAACTATAATTTTTTTGTGCAGTGGTTCACACGTTGAGCCTAAAAAAAAAAAATAACACACCACACAGAACCCTATACACACAGATAGTACAGGCATATACGTATATGTATATATATTTATATATACATATATCTATATATATGTAATTCCATTAAAAACAAAAACTCCTAATTATAAACATATTAAAAATAAAAAGGAAAATACCTACTTATTAAAAACCAAGACGATATATGAAATTAAATGATGAAAAAAAAATCAAGAATGAAAAAGTAATGCAGTAAAATATGAGAAATTTGAATAAAAATGCTTTTGCAAAAAGTGTTTAAAATTGAGACAAATGTTTAATATTTAATAATAAGACAATAACATTAGGACAACGTGAACGAACATTAATTAATCATCTTCGATTATCTCGATATCGCTATTGGGTGCTTTCAGCTCTTCGATTTCATCCTCCAAGTCCTCAATCTGCTCCTCATATTTACGCTTGAGCGATGCCAACTGCGGATAGATAATATGAATGGATAAATTATATTCGCAGGTTACACTAAAAAGATTAAACTAACCTTCGCCTCAAACTCGCGATTTAGCATTTGAATCTTTTTCTCGTGACGCTCATCGGATTTCTTCAAATTTGTTTCTATAGTCTCTTGGAACATGTCTGTGATCTCCTTGCGCAATCGCTCCTCCTGCAGTTGCATCTTCAGCACATGATCATACTTCAACTGATCGACCTCTGCACGCAGGCTTCAATTGGAAAAAGGAAATGAATACTTTTCAAATTGGCAATTGAAGAAAATACTCACCTAATATTCTGTGCTTCGAGTTCTTCAATGTATTCCTTATCTTGTGCCACCGAGGACTGTGTGTAGTCCACGAATGCCGAGTAGCGTGCATGGTGCTGCTTGACAAGCGGCTGCTTAAATAATATATTCTTCGCGATGGAGGCAAAGTTGAGCACATTCAGATTTTCCTCATAGTATTTATCCAGCGGCGTCACTGTCACAATCATCGCCAAGCGCTCCTTGCCCAGTAGCGCTGCTTGCAGCAGCATGGTGAGCTTTGAGTCTCGATAGGGTATCACATCGGCAGTGCCCTTCTTTTTTGTGGAGCTTGCCGCATCGAGGCAACGACCCAACACCATTAGGGAGGTGTTGATGCTCTGCGCCTCCCTCAAACGTGATCCAATCGTGCCCGTTTTATCCACACGCTCCGATCCGGCTAGATCACAAAATTTGTACGAGTTCTGTGTGGTGACGCCCGAGCGATGATATTTCAACACGTCCACAGTGAAGATGCAGTGGGATCGACTTGAGTTCGCATTGACAGCAGTTGATGCGTACGTCAGTCGTTGCTGTCCCAGTCGCAACAGTTTCAATGCCTCCTCGCTGCTCTTTACAAATATGCTGGTCAAACCCTTGATAAACACCTGACCCTTATTGCAAACGATCTTCAGGTTTTTCCGTGGCGGCACGCCCACAGTTGCCTGCCGTGGTGCCATGGTCAACAAATCATAGACGAGTTCATTGTATATCTCAACAAACGAGACCCATATCATGACGGACACACCATCCATGGGTTTCTCCATGAACTCATGATCACCGCTGATGACTTGCTGCAGGCGCTTGTGTTGACTGGTGATATCTGGACATAATGCCAGCATTTGGCGACGCATCTGCATCTCCTGAAGCATTACATCATCTTCCAGTATTAAAACGCGTGCATTAATCAGCTTCAACTTGGGAGTTGTATATACACTTCTATCGTACAGTGTGAAGATGTTTTCCAAGGCGCGTGGCACAACTCCAGCTCTCACGTTGTCACCTGGAATAACAGAAGCACTTTAAACTGACTTTCATACTGGCTTGATGATTAAAGAAGACTATTAGTAATCCTACCAACACCAATTCACTCATTATACATTTGATGTTTAATTTTTACTTACCCAGCAGCGTGTAGGTTTTGCCGGAACCTGAGGTGCCGTATGCCATTATTGTAACGCACTCCTCTTCCGTAATCCGTGGACCGACACACTTGTCGTACACATCCCGCTGACCCACTTGGCTGTCGAAGATGCTAGTAAAGCTGTAGTGCTTCTCCATGCGACTAACGTTGTTGGCGCTGTTCTCATTCGCGGCGCTGGTGATGAGCACATTGCCACAGTCAGAGATCACATATAGCTTGGATGGTATATCTACAGGTCGCAAACGTAGAAACACCTGTGGTCCTGTCTCCAGCTCACCGGGATCTATTGAACTGCCCTCCTCTTCCGTATTTTTCGTATAATCGGATTCCGTGTCTGAACTGTCGGTGGAGTTGTCGCTGGTTTCGGAGATTGCCTCGTCGAATAGCCGCAGTTGCTTTTCGGGACACGGTCGAAATCGACGATCAACGCTGGGATCTCTGGGCATCAGAAACGAGCGCATCTCGCGCTTTATTCCAAACTTTTTATCCATTTTAAGGCAATTTAAATATTCTTATCAAATTTGTTTGTCGCTTTTTGGCGGTTCAACTTAAAGACGCTTGATTTGCCCTGCGTTGCCAACTGTCGTAAAATTATACTGGCCCTGCTAACTGTTTTGAGAGCAACAATAAATCATATAATATTATTTAAATCCATCTAATGACAGTGTTTGCTAAGCATATTCTTTCATTTATTTCGCGAATGCAGACACATAACAACTTTGAAAAGAAGTAGTTATAGACTGGAAATAACAATCATATATTTTCAATATAACTATCGAATAGCGCTGCTATCAATTGTATTTCAGCGCTCTATATATCGAGTGCTTACACCAGGTGGCAACTCTTCCATCACGAGCGATCAAAACAATAAACAATCAATAAAAGGCGGGATTCCGTGTTCTCATAATTTTACAAATATGAGTAAAAAGTCAACGCGCTCTACGAAACTCAAGGCGGATCCCGATGCGGTGACACAGCAACAAGTAGCATGTGCAACTAAGAAAGTTTTCTACATATCAGAAAAGCTGCTGGATGCAAAAGATGCCAAAGACGACCAGCGACTGTGTTTGGAGCATTTCTATCATCCCGGCAAGGCGCGTCCGGCTTTGTTTGTAACATTGCGGGAGCATGCAATAATGGAGGTGCTGGAATATGCGGAGCCACGGCGCAGCTGGCTAATGAACAGTGAAGTGTGCTCTAATGGACGCACATACATGACGACACCGATTGATGCCACGCTGCTGGCACTGCATCATCTGCGCCGGCATTGTTCCCAGCGGGCCATGTCACTGGACAACATTAGCGTGGATGAGCCGGATGCGAGCACACATCGTTTGCTCACCAAATTCGTCAGGGCCGATGGGCTAAAGTGTGTGGCGGATGTGAAGAAGTCCGGCGACCTTATCTTCTACAAGTACAACTCGGACAGGGCGCTGGCTTGGCTCGCCCTGAAGACGCGACAAGTTGTGCTCGTGCTTAAGGCAAAACAGGTGCACTGCGGATTGGGTGCCAAGTCGGAAAATTATGTGCGCAGCGAGAAACTGGTGGAGGAGAATGATGTCAATGAAATGGATTATATGCGTATGGCCTGCGACTATGTTGGTCGCTATTTGGATGCTGATTTGCATGCTGAACTCACCCGCTATTTGCACATACCCAGCGAGATTCAGGCTCTGGTCGAGGAGAAAGCCAACACGCAGAAGCGTAAATCTCAGCAGGACGCTGCTGGTGCAAATAGCAAAAAAATTAAACTCGGCAATGGCAAAGAAGATGCGGCAAGTCAGCTACGAAAAAGCAGTCTGCTGGACAATGATGACATCAAAGAGGAGAGCAATAAGTCGCCCAGCACACCTGTGCCGCTCAAGGAGCGCAGCATGTCAGCTAAGGAGAAGGCGCTGGCCAAGGGTGCCAAGGGTAGCAAAAGCATTTCATCCTTTTTCAAAGTCAAATAGATTTAAGCATAAATTGGTATTCATATTAAGTTAACACTTAAACAATTCGCTGTTCAGTAACCGTTTTTATTAATATATAAACAACATGATTAAAGTTCAGTGACTTGTCTACTTATGTCGCATGGCGTACATCTTTCTCTCGGACGCATAACTTCTTTTCAATCCGGATTGTTTAATGTTTGGTTAACACGTCTGGCACACCGTCAATACAAGTTGCGTCAATATGATACTTTTACTGCTCCGAGTAACAATTAATTATAGATGTTTGTTTGCATTTCATTGTACTTATTTATTTTTATGGTTCATGTCTGGCACTTGCTATTGAACATAAAATGACTGGCGTAAAGATACCCTCTAACTGATTAGAACTGTGTTACCAGGTTTATTGGCGATTATCTAAAGTAACTAAAATTCTCATTGTTGGGATACGGAACTGGTTAGAAAACCAGTTAATTATTTTATTTGTAAATACAAATTTTATAAATTCAGACATTTTTAAGGAATACCTCTAAAACAACTCTAATTTCTGTGTGATTTAATTTGTATAACCAAATGTTATTAACACTATTATTTTGCGTGTATTTGAGAAAACCAAACTTTCAGTTTCAGAAATACTTATGATACTGACACATCGAACAAATGGATTCAAGTATCTCCGAAACTTTTGAAATTTAGTTTATCAATAAAGTAAAATAAAAGTCTTTAGTTGATATATGTATAGTTGATTTATTAACCTTGGATTAAGTGATGGAAACTAAATAAGTATGTAAATATTGTCGGTGTATTTAAATTCGATATGCAGCCTATCGGAAAAATGAATATGCTTGTACTGGCAATATATATGTATATATTAAGCATAAATACTTATCTACATTTATAGGGTGACCATAATTGGTGTGCATTAAAGTAAAACTGTTGACAGGACAGCAGTTGTCAAATAAGTCTGTGTTTCGATTTAGTGTTGCCCTGTGACATTGTCAGTTAGAAGACTGTTCTGATTATTTGGAAAAAAAGAAAGCCATTTTTATCCACCTTGTAAAATAATTTGACAAAAAACTTATATTAAACTTAAAGAACTATGTCAACAACGGATAAAGCAAATAAATCAGAGTTGGGCACCGCAGAGCCTGCTGAACTTGCAGCTGGCGCCAGCAATTTGGCGGAGCATCTCTTCAAGAAGCCTCTGCCCCGCATGGAATTCAACAAGAAGAACAAAGTGGGATTCACATCGCCTGGCTATGAGCTTAAGTACAAGCTTGAGGGTCACGTCAGTCACGTAACTGCAATCAGATTCTGCCCCAACGGTGATTGGCTGACCAGCACATCCGACGATCGCTCGCTCAAGATGTGGAGCATAGAGACGGGTCAGCTCTTTCAGACATTGGACACCGGGCATAAGTTGGGCGTCAATGATGTGACCTGGTCGCCGGATAGTAAATTCATGGCCAGCTGCAGCGATGATAAGACCATTAAGCTCTGGCATCCGCACAATGGCCACTGCTTTAGGACTCTGGTGGGTCACACGGACAATGTCTTCGCCTGCAGCATTCATCCGAGCTCGAGTCTGATAGCGTCCACCAGTTTCGACTGCACTGTCCAGCTGTGGGATGTCCGCAATGGTCGCTCACTGAAAGTGGTGCCCGCTCACAAGGATCCCATTACATCGGTGGACTTTAATCTGAATGGCAACCTCTTTGTCACTGGCAGCTATGATGGACTCGTGCGCATTTGGAGCACGATTAGCGGCAATGTGCAGCAGACGCTCATCGATGAGGACAATTCGCCGGTGGGCTCTGTAAAGTTTGCACCCAATGGCCGATATATACTCGCCGCCCACCTGAACAGTCGGATAAAGCTGTGGAACTTTCAAAAGCCGAAATGTGTGCGTATCTACGAAGGCCACATAAATGTCCGGTATTGCATCACAGCCCAATTCTCTGTGACAGCTGGCATGTGGATCGTGTCGGGCAGTGAGGATAACTGCCTCCACATATGGAGTCTACAGAGCAAGGAGCTTGTCCAGAAGCTGCCAGCGCACTCGCAGCAAATTGTTTGCATCGACTGCCATCCCACATTGAGTCTGATTGCAACGGGCTCGATGCAACACAGTGAAAATCTACGCGTATGGCAGAGCAGCGAACTTGTAATTGAATAAGCTAAAAAAAGAAGGAAACTAATAAAAAAATATCAATTAGTAATTTTTATTGGGTCTTAATTGCAAATGTTTACCAAGCATCTCTGTAATCGGAATTCTTATCGCTCTTGTTGTTGCAACACTTGTAAGATAACATGGTAATCAAACTCGCAAATTATTAATGGCCCACATACACTAACCCAAATAAGACACATACACTTTGTGATGGTGTGTGTGTGTGTGTGTGTGTGTAGTGTGTTGTGAGTGTGTTTTTGTTTGTTTGCTTGTGCAGCCAGTCCGGGCTTCGATGAAACCGCGAAGCGATTGGAGCGTCAGTCAGGTCCGGAGAGCCGCATTGAGCGAACGTTATTATAATTTAACGCGGAAATCGAACCCGATACAATTGCAGCTTTAACAAATACCAAAAGAAAAAAATACAACTTTGTGGTAGCAGCGTTATGAGAGCCGACGCCAACGAAGGTGAGTTGTTGCTATCCGTTTGCATGCATTTGGAGCTGGTGGATTTCCAATTTACATTTTCTGTTCTCCTGCCAGTTGGAAAGTTTTTCATATTCTGTTGAAAATGTAGAAACTTTTTGGAAGTTTTGTGGAATGCGACTGCATATTAAGCTCGCTTTCCATGCTTTTGCATATTTGTTGTGTTGTATTATTTAAAAGCCAGCGAAGCAGGGGATTTTTTTTATATTACTCGATTAAGTTAGAGCTTATAAACCGGAATTTTTCGGATTTGATTTACCGGTATATGGCTTGACTGATGCAATAACAATTCTAAAGTACTCCCTGGAAGAGTTAAGCTTAACAAATAGAAATGTAACATAATGAGAGAAAAAATATACAAAATGCATTAAAAAAGTGTTCAAGTAGAAAACAACCATTTAAAATAATCTTATTAACATTAATAATAAGCATAATTTAAAGATTAAATTAGATTTTTGAAGGTTTCTGCTGATACGAGCTAAGTGGACGTGTCTGATTCATGAAACAAATTGAAATAAAAACTTACTTATCTCTCTGGGTTATTATGGGTTATTATTATGTTTTCTGCGACTGATGTGCTGCTACCAAGCAACAACCTTCTCAACAATCGTTCAATTTATGATTTGATTTAAAAACACACAAGCCCATTTCTTATCAGTGTCATAAACATTTTGCTATAAATCTCATATGAATTTGCCATTTTATTTCTCACGCAATCGTAGAGAATCTCTACCGGGAGCAGTTGCCAAATGTAGGCACGCTTATCAGGGAAAGTGGACGCAAGATTTGCCGGCCGGCAACAATTACCAATAAATTTCCAATCCTACGTTGGCTGCCCCGCTATCGATCCACTTATGTGGTGCAAGATTTTATAGCCGGCTTCACAGTCGGATTGACCACAATACCGCAGGCCATTGCGTATGGAGTTGTGGCTGGACTGGAGCCACAATATGGCCTCTACTCGGCCTTTATGGGCTGCTTCACCTACATCGTATTTGGCTCCTGCAAGGATGTCACTATTGGTATGAAATTCTACATCGATATAGTCGATTTCTTTTAAAACTTATTTTCTTCTCTTTTCGCAGCCACAACTGCTATAATGGCGCTGATGGTTAATCAGTATGCAACTATTACGCCGGATTATGCGGTCTTTGTTTGCTTCCTGGCGGGCTGTATTATTCTTCTGCTGGGCCTCTTCAACATGGGCGTTTTGGTGCGATTCATATCGATTCCGGTCATAACTGGATTCACAATGGCAGCGGCTACCACCATTGGAAGTGCCCAGATCAACAATCTCGTTGGCCTCAAAGGTAAGTCTTTTTTTTCGTTTCTTGTGATTTATCATTATTTATTGTAGATTGTAAATCTTGATCACTGAGATTAAAATATCTACAGTCAATAATTTTTGGTATGAGATTAAGTTTGTATCCGTTTGAAAATAATAATTGATTTAAGTAATGATTTATGTTTAACTATTCTATTATTACATTTTAATATAAATGTTTACCTAAAATTTGAAATATATTCGCAGGTCCCTCGAATGATTTGTTGCCCTCATGGAAACACTTCTTTACACACATACCCTCGATCAGAGTCTGGGATGCCTTGCTGGGAGTCACCACTTTGGTGTTCCTGCTGCTCATGAAGGTAAGTCGTCCGCTTATGGTATCCACGTCAAAATTCAAGCAAATCTGTTTTTTCAGCAACTGACCAAGATCAAATGGGGCAACCGTTTGGTGTGGAAGTATCTATCGCTATCTCGTAATGCACTGGCCGTCATCTTTGGCACATTTCTGGCCTACATCCTCAGTCGAGATGGTAATCAGCCCTTCCGGGTGACGGGTAATATTACAGCAGGGGTGCCACCCTTTCGGTTGCCGCCCTTCAGCACCACAGTTGATGGGGAGTACGTGTCCTTTGGCGATATGATAAGCACTGTGGGTGCTTCACTGGCCTCCATTCCAATGATTGCCATACTGGAGATTGTGGCCATATCGAAGGCGTTCTGTAAGTAAACTCAATAGAATAAAAATAGAAAAGTCTAATAATCTAATATATCGACATAGCCAAGGGGAAAATAGTGGATGCTTCGCAGGAAATGATTGCTCTGGGCATGTGCAATATAATGGGCAGCTTTGTGCTTTCCATGCCGGTAACCGGTTCCTTTACACGCACAGCCGTCAACAATGCCAGTGGTGTGAGAACACCACTTGGTGGTGCCGTCACTGGCACCTTGGTGCTCATGGCCTTAGCCTTTCTCACCCAAACTTTTTACTATATACCCAAAACGACGCTAGCTGCGCTTATTATAGCAGCTATGATATCTCTCGTAGAGCTGGAGAGAATTGCGGAGATATGGAAATCAAAAAGTGAGTAAAGCGATTCTAGATAGTAGTATCTTTATCTACAAAAGTTTTAAAGACTATAAGATAACAACATAATCTTTATATCTTTTTAGTGTAAATTACACTATCTTTGCATATAAAAATCTTTGTATATAAATCTTTACTAGAACGCGATCTCTTTCCATTCGTGGTGACAATTCTGACCTGCTTGTTTTGGAGCTTGGAATATGGCATAGTCTGTGGCATTATCGCTAATCTCATCTATATACTATATAGTAGCGCTCGGCCACAGGTGTCCATAACGCTTGAAAAGGTACGCAAGTAACTGAAGCTTAAGTGCAATAAATAAATTGTATTTAACTATATCCGCAGATCAACGGTTTTGAGATTGCACTGATGGATGTCAAGCAGAAACTGGACTATGCCAGTGCTGAGTTTATTAAAGAGAAAGTTGTGGCATTCGTTAATCAGCAGGAAACCAAAATACGAGTGGTTGTAGTGAAGGGTCACGAAATAAATTCCATTGACTATACAGTTGCCATGGTAAGAAATCAGATGCTAATTTTCATTAAAATCGAATTAAAAATGTGCTACCTTCAATAGAACATAATATCACTGCAAGGTGATCTCAAGGCATTGAACTGTGACCTAATTTGTTGGAACTGGAATATTGGCTCAGCTGGTGTCGTCTGTCGCCTGAACAGTGATATGCGTTCCGTATTCAAGTTTGACCACGAACTGGATGAATTGGTCGCTTCACACTTTGATACCTCAAATTCGACGTCGACTGTTACGATTGAGTCCGCACAGAGCAATTCAAATGTGACCTAAATATGAAACAAGAAAATGTTCTTTAAGTTAACAGTATTTTATATTTTAATAACAATAAAAAACATTGTATTTAGAAGCACTAGTTTGACATCAGGTGTTCAAAATGGATACTTTTGGAAAGGGTACTCGCATTCACAAAAGGTTCAAGTTTGAGTTACGAGCTCAACTAATTCCAGACGAGGCGACAGAGTGTCTGGTGGGTTTTTCTCTCATATTGTATTTCGAATACTCGGGAGTACTCTGCTTCGAAGAACCTCACGCATTATGTCATAATAGTTGGGCAGTAAAATTAATTGAACTATTAACCACAACACACATTGAGGCAGACAGTCTTATGTGTGCTACGATCGCCTTTCTCCGAACAATTGAGATGAGTGTGGATTTAATTTATGGCTTTCTCCAGCCACTTGAATGGTTCTGCCTGCACTCTGAGCGAGACAGAGACAGAGACAGAATGAGAGTGAAGGATAGTAAAAAGGAATATCTACCTTTTGTCAGTTGGGTTAAAAATATTCATCTTCTTGGAAGAGTACATCGGGGTTTGTACTTTGGAGGTATCCAATTCATGGTAGCCCAACTTTTCAGTGTCTTAAATCGTTTTTAAAAAAAGTTTTATACCTATCTGCACAAAATTCAAATGGGGCTTGGCTAGCCATTTCTACTTCGAAATTTTGCTTTCTATTCATGACCTCCAAGCTGACCTTGTCCCATTTGTCAGTTTGTAGTTTGCACCAGCTGTACACACTCTCCACTTAGCTCCACAGTCTGACATCATACCATCTCTGAAACTAATCCATACTTCCGCTTTGGTTCCTGCCACTGGAACTGTTAGTACTTCAGTTTCCAAAACGACTCCTTCAAAGTCCAAACCATTGCCTAGAATTGGTATGCATGAATGTTTATTGAAGTGTTTTAATTAGAATAACAATTTTACTTTTTAATTACGAAAATTCATAATTTATTTTTAAAGCTTCATTATTATTATTAATTCCAATTTATAATCGTATTATCAATCATTTTTTTGAAAACGCACTTGATAAATGTGTGTTGAATATACATTTGTACTATTCATATGATAATAGTCTAAAAAACATTCCCTTCAATTTTCAAATGGAAGACAATGATATCAATTTGGGTATTTGGTGAATGGCGCGTGCGCTGTCAAGGTCGGGATGCGGATCAGATGCCGCAGTGATTACGTTGGCTTAGGCAAATATATTAAATTTAAGACCAGGTGGCTCCAGCTGCATATAGCACGCTTCGGATCCTTGAGACGTAACGTTAGGATCTCATGCAGCAAATATCAATATATATATTCTCGATAAACACAAATTGATTCATTTTGGTAAACGTAAACAGCGGGATGACGCAGCAGCATCAACAGAAACCAGCTGGACCAATCTCGTGGCAGGCTGGGCACAGAGAAAATAGCAGATCACACCATGTGTTCGCTGCTTCCACCAATTGTAGCGCCCAGAAGGCACTATTACGGAGCAGGGGCACGCCTACAAGTGCCAAAAATAGGCAACATTGCGAGAGCAGAAGACAACAAGAGACAGACAGAGAGAGAGGGAGACTGAGTGCGAGTGGAATGTGTGTAAAAAGGAAGATTTTCCGAGCAGAACAATCAGATGAGTTTTAAATGTGCGGCAACACGGTCATAGACGACTTATTCTGAACGATCTTAAATAATACGAATAATTTAGCAAAAAAGGCCTTTGTAGAGAATTCTCTCTAGAAAACTACCGGTGAAAGTGCTCTAAAAAATTCGAAAAGATTATCTAATGCGACGCAAAAAGCGCGCCTCCAGCCCCCTGGATCTCTATGATGATGACTTCGATGACGATGCCAGTTCACATAGTAAGCATATGGAATTATACTATAATCAAATATATATTTATGACTTTATGCAAATGTCAAAAGGTTCCCAGCCGCCGGTGCAAAGGAATGCGGCCAATGCCCGAGAGCGTATGAGGATGAGGGTCTTGTCCAGCGCCTATGGACGTTTGAAAACCAAATTGCCCAACATTCCGCCGGACACAAAGCTGTCCAAGTTGGATACATTGCGTCTGGCAACGCTTTATATTAAGCAGCTAATTAATGCTGTGGAGACGAGCAGTGCCAGTGGCACTTCTACTACAAATACCCATCCTAATCTCAATTCTCCTGCTGATATGACAGATGCGCTGGATACGCGACATTCAGGGACAGATTACGGGACTGCCGTCGGCGGTATTGCATCGCCTTTTAATTTTCACAATTCTGGACATCCCGGCATGGTAAGTCTCAAAGTGGCAAGGCAAATTTGCCAGCTCGCTTATGCTGCGTATAAGTGATGTCAGTGGCACCACTTAACGTTGCATTCAACACTGAATGAATGGTATATATGTATATATATATATACATATTTATATGTATATCGTACATATATAGATACATGGATGCGCCGCACTTCCAGCTGGACGACGTCAATCTGTGACAGATGTCAGTTCAGTTATGATAGGCTGCGTTGATAGGCTCAAACTCAGACAGATTTTTTTGTTAAGCGACAGCGACAGACAGCATTTAACCCAATTACAGTATCATTAAATAAAGAAAAGTTTTAACAACAAATGCACCAGAGTAGGAACTATTCCCCTTCTATGCATATCTCTTTTACAACAAGTTTGGGTATGCCTCTAAGTTATTTTCTACACAAAGCTAGACAAAGTTCAAATTTTAAATAAAGATCAAAATGAGATATAATGTCTTATTTTAAGGTGTTTGATAGAGATGTTTGATTAATACAATGTTCTTGTGTTCGTTTTAGACATTGATATACAGACAAGCATTTAGCACAAAATCCTGTGAAATGATTTATTGAAATCATTAAAATAAAAATGTATTATAGCATTTTCAAAAGACAGTTTTGAAGGTATTTGATAAATAGAATGTTGTGGTATTCGTTTTTTTTTTTATTCATATATAGAGTCAGTTACTTATCTTATCTAGTTATTTATTATGAAAATAGGGCTCTAAAAACCTCAAAAAAGAAATGCTTTAAAGAATTCGCTTAGAAATTTGTATTTTCGTCAAATTTTTCACAAATTGGAATTATTTCAAATATTTGAAGATTTCAACTAAAAATTAGTGAAATAATTGTTTGTCTGACCTAATGTTAGGAACTTCAAATCAAAAATCATATACATGTTATATGTTGGGCAACATCTGCTCAAGGGCTGCTATAGCTTCTATACCTTCTATGTAGGTGTAGGTGTATGCTAGGGCCCCCCAATAGTGGGTACAAAAACAAAAATCACATTTTGTGATTTCAGTTTGTGTCTGGCTTTCCTGTAATCAGATACTTTTGTGAATTTCAAAAATACAAAATATGAGTGACAGACTCACACGGAGACATCGACGTTCCACGGTGACGAGGTGCGGGGCAACAACATTGGTTATTCTTCTTCGCCAGTATTTCTTGTTATTTTTAAAGATGCACGACTTTGAAGCGACCAAAGAAACAAAATGACATGCAAGGAAAAACTGTCGTTTTGTGACTCTGCGCTAGATAACACATAATATGTAATTAAAACAAGTGAGAATGCTCGTTAGTGTTCGACTTGAAGATATCCCGCACGCAGATCTGAAATACTTCAAATCATTTAAAGTTTGGATATATGCACAATTTACCGATTTCCCTATCTTCTCATATGCATCTATGATATCCATAGAATAACCCACATATATTAACAAAAAAGACAGATCCGAATTCAAACAATTTGTTTATTCAATCGCTGAAGCGGAATGCGTGAAAATTTTCAGCAAATATTGTGCTTGAACGGCGTCTTGTGTCCATATGGTGGCAGTGTTTTGTTTGCGTTTGTCAGGATCGTACTGATCGTACCCCCGTACCCGTACCCATACCCGTACCGACAATACCTACACCCTAATTTATCCCACTCGCACGCGCCGCCTTGAATTGAGGGCTGGGTGTGGGAACTGCGAGAGTGAGAGAGAGAGAGAGAGAGAGAAAGGGAGAGATCGCAATCCCTTACCCATTGGCTGCCCAGGCTGACGACGATGAGTGTGTGTTGTGTCTTGTCTTTGGCCTGTTTATGTTTTTATAGATACGTTAATGACGCTGTTATTGTTCAACTATGAAAACATTTCCCAAAGAGCCACTAAAAACAATCAAAATTGTATAAACAAACAATGGCGCTGTCGCTGTCGTTGTCGGCTTGTCGTCATATTGTTCCATTTATAGTTGTGCGGTTTCCCCTAATAGAGTACTTAGCTGCCTAAATTACTTTACAATCCTTTATCGATATGATATGATATGCAACCGTTTAGACACATTTTCCAGTATCAAGAGGAGGATAAGTTATTTCTTTATCGTTTTGTGTCCAAATTTTAAAGTGATTATTTTTTTTAATCTTCTTTTTAAAATTGAATGATTTCTATAGAGTAATTTCATTGGATTGTGCAAAATTATTTGTGCAAAAATATTGATTGAATATATACAAAATTAGTTAAATTATTCTGTACAGTACTAATTGCCAATAAATTATTTTTTTAGAGTTGGCCCTTTGAGTTTCATCAACATATGCAACACGGCCACAGTCGCAACAGCAACTCCAGCCACACATTCAGCTCTGCGCGCATGGATTGGCAAAGTTCTCAAGCGCAATCCTACCCAAAGACGCCACGTCACGAACCACACATGGCTACCGAGGTCAATTATACACAGCTGCAGGATGCACACTGGTATCCCAATGATATGGGACTGCAGTTGGAGCAAACACGCAACGCTAATGGCTGTTGTGCCTATGAGTCGGCTGGCGTTGGACAGCATCAGAGGGGCATAGCGATATCCAGCAGTCAGACGCATCGTCTTTAGTGCGATCTTTGGTGCTTAATTACATATATCAGCTTTTACTCTAATGAAAATTGTATTAAAATCGTGATTGTATTCTATGTTATGTAATGTACTAAGCCAAAGATTAATAATATGTTTAACTCTTACATGATTAGTTAATAAAGTAAATAAATTAAAGCAAAAACCAACATAAGAGAATTTCATGTTTAAATTACGCGCCTAGCTGAACGAACGTCTGGCAACTTTGTATTTCGTATGCTGCAGCCCTAGCGCACAGCTGATTGCACAGAACAAACAAAGAGCCCCAACAACAATAGCAAAGCATCAACAATAACAATTAGCGTTTGCTTTTCAATGGCGCAACTTGAATATACTGATTAAAGGCAATTAATCGCATAGCTACTGCTGGGTAACAGTTCAATGTGCTTGTAAGATTAGATTTTTTTCAAATCTGCGAGTGTATGTACACTTGTACATAAACTGAGCTTAACAAGTTTAGTCTCCACGTTCACTTTTAGTTAGTACTCAACTGTCGTAGAAGACGTACGCGATATTTTCCCATATCTTAAGCCGATTTTAGCTTGTGAAACTGTTTGGTTGACGCAGTTGCAGCAAAATGCCAGCAATGGAAGTAAATCCCGATTTGCAGAAGGAACGCAATACAGCGACCTTTGATCCAAATGAGTTTTCGGTCTTTTGGGCTGGTGGCGCAGACAAATACAAAGAAAAGAAGGCCTTGGGTAAGCGCGACTCTCCACATACATATACACATATATATTAATGCGCACTCCGCATTTACCACAATTAACTGGTTTTTAAGCTCGGCTTGAAGAGCTTCGCTCGAAAGCACTCACAGCGTCATTTCGCAATTCAACAGCACCGCAAATAATTGCAGCAGTAGCATGACACAGCGTATATTTGGCAATTTAGTCACTTTATTATGCATACGTGCGGTAAGAATGTGAACCTTGTGAACTTTGGGAATTAAATAATACCATAGATGCATATTTCTTATCAAGCAAGTTTTCTGGCAACCCATGACAAGCCTCTCGGTGTGTTTGTTTTTATTAGTCTCTTCGCAAACTTATCCATTCATTAAAAATTTGTGACGATATTCAAAACGCAGAAATTATTTAAATTTTACGCATTCATTATTAGCTCACTATCAAATGCGATATTCGTTGAACTTTGTTCAACATAAAGCATCTCCAACTGGTTTTTAACTCATTTCGCTCGGCGAACTATAGACTTTGAATGTACTTATGCATTTGCGAATAAATTCATAGTTCAGCCGCACTTGAAAGTGTTATAAATTATTGTGCTGCGCCGATAAGCTTTATCTATGTGATTTGCGTTAATCGCTTGTACCCCCAGTAATAGAAATACACAAGTGTATTATGATTAACAGATAGATATTTGTATATGACACATGTGTTTTCTTGTCACGTATTTAAAATGCTGTTCTTTTTGGGGCAATTGTAGAGAAAATGTTCCTGGAGGATCCAGCGCTGAATGATGAGGTGCCCACTTCATATATGTCACACAAGGAGCTCTACGAGAACAGTCTGCGCAAGGCATGCCTCATTGGCGAAAAGATACGCGAACTGCGCGCCAATGGCGAGGATGGCGTAGATACCTACAAGTAAAGATTGTATATTATATCCAGCTAAGATGCATCTAGTAATTCCATTCTTTGACAGCGCTCTACTCGGCGGCTCACTGGGCGCTGCTCTAGTGAAGGAGGGCAATCCCATTGCACTGCACTATGTCATGTTTGTGCCAACTATTATGGGTCAAGTCAGTTTAGCATGCAAATAAAACTATTTGTAAGCAAATAATCGGTTTGTATGCTTTGCAGGGCAGCATGGAGCAGCAGGTGGAGTGGCTGTCGAAAGCGTGGGACTGTGAGATAATTGGCACCTATGCACAAACTGAACTGGGTCATGGCACCTTTTTGCGTGGCTTGGAAACGCGCGCAGATTACGATGCCCAAACGCAACAGTTTGTGATCAATACACCCACACTTAGCGCATATAAGTGGTGGCCCGGCGGCTGTGAGTAACTTGCAGCTTAAGCACATTGCAGCACTAAATTCAAATCTCATCATCATTCACAGTGGGACACACGGCGAATCATGCCGTGGTCGTTGCCCAGCTGTACACCAAGGGCGAGTTCCGTGGACTGGCGCCGTTTATTGTGCAGCTGAGGGACACGGATACGCATATGCCCCTTCCCGGCATCGATATTGGGGACATTGGCACCAAGCTCGGCATGAAGGCGGTTAATAATGGTTATTTGGGACTGAAAAATGTGCGCGTTCCACTGAACAATATGCTGATGAAGAACCAACAGGTGCTGCCGGATGGCACCTATGTGGCGCCGAAGAACAGTGTCCTCACCTATGGCACAATGATGTTTGTCCGCTGTGCACTCATTAGGGATACGGCTCAAAGCTTGGCCAAGGCCTCCACCATTGCCACGCGATATTCGGCAGTGCGACGACAGAGTCCCATTGATCCGAAGGAGCCAGAGCCACAGATTATGGAACATACGACACAGCAGCTCAAGCTGTTTCCGCAAATAGCCAAGGCAATTGTCTTTAAGACGACTGGCGATGGCATTTGGAATATGTATAATGTGCTCTCTGGTGAAATTGAGCTGGGCAATCTGGATCGCTTGCCGGAGATGCATGCGCTCTCGTGTTGCCTGAAAGCCATTTGCAGCGCAGATGCAGCAGCTGGCGTGGAGACCTGTCGCCTCTCATGCGGCGGTCATGGCTACATGGACTGCTCTAATTTCCCGACTATCTATGGCATGACGACGGCTGTGTGCACCTACGAGGGCGAGAACACCGTTATGCTGTTGCAGACGGCCCGTTATCTGGTCAAGGTATATGGCCAAGCGTTAAGTGGGGATGAACTGGTGCCCACGGTGGCTTACATCAACGAGGCCATCAAGCTAAAGTACTTTGTCAATTTCGACGGATCATTGGAGTCGATTGTGAAGGCATTCCAGTTTGTGGCTGCCAAGTGAGTTTTGCATTGAGTTCTTTAGTGCAATCTTTAATGCATTTTTATCCACAGCAAAGTGCGCGTTGCTTATGAACAAATTGAACAGCGTCGTCGACAGGGTCACTGCACGGAGGTCGCTGCCAATCTTAGTGGTGTATTCCTAACCGGCGCTGCAGACGTAAGCTGGGCAAAGACACTAAAATTTTGTATATACTAACACATGCTCTATTTATAGCTACACGGACGCGCCTTTTTGGCAGAGTCTGCGTACAAGGAACTGATGGCTGTGTCCAAAACAGTCTCTCCAGCACTGGCTGATGTGCTGAAGGTGGTCTTGGAGCTGTACCTAGTCGACGCATGCCTCAATCGTATTGGTGACTTCTTACGCGTTAGTATATACATATTATCAGCTTTTCAAAAATAATAGTTACTCCTTACACTCTCCTTCGCTTATGCAGTTCATCGATCTGACTGATGCGGATGTTACCAAACTGGAGATGCGTCTGGAGAGCTGCTTGAAACGCTTGCGTCCCAATGCTGTTGCTCTGGTCGACAGTTTCGATCTTCATGATCGCGTTCTGGACTCGGCTCTGGGCGCATACGATGGCAATGTGTATGATCACATATTTGAGTCGACCAAGAAGAATCCGCTCAACAAGGAGCCAGTGAATGAAGCATTCCACAAATATCTGAAGCCCTTCATGAAAGCGCATTTGTAAAATTACGTTACATTTTTTATAGGGCGGTATTTCGTCATTGTTATATGCCTGTTATTGTTTCATATGTAAATATATATATTTAAATCTTGCTTGTTAATTTAGTTTGTTTGCCATTCAAGTCATCCGCTATTCTTAGGACTTCTTAGGTCATCCAGTTTGTTGTTAGAAATGTTGACCAGTTTTGTGTTTTAATAGAGCTTACACTAAACGCTTTATTAAAGATGGGTTTTTTAATTATAGTTTTTTAGATAGAGATTAACTATAATCGTTTCCCTAATTAGCAGCGGCTAATTGATCATCTAATCGAGCACAGCCCTAAAGCCATCGAAATGTGTTGCTTACGATGTACTAGCAACCGAAGTCTTGGCCGTGCGCTGTGCATAGAGGCGTCGCAGCAGTCGATTGCCGCAAAGGAATGTGAATACTGCGATTGGTATAAGCATGCGCAGCGTTTGGAACATGTTCAGTTGCAGCCAGAAGACGAAAAATAGCGCCAGAATGCCGCCGAAGCCCAAATGGAATCCTATTGTGCTGGGCGACAGTGTGAAGTTGGACACATTTATGCCCAATTTGGCCCAGAAGACAAAGAGCAGGACGAGCGGCGTTATGCACAGGCCAGTGAATATATCGGAGACAATGCGGGGCGGACGCTTATCGGGCACACGGAACTGATGCACAATCTCAGGCAGGGGTCCACTCACAACGCTGGCCTTGATTTCTGTAAAATATGCAATTAATAGTAATTGAGCACAGAATTGGGTTTGTAGTTTTAACAGACCTCCATCGGGCTGATTGAATTTCAGCTGCACATCGGCCAAAAGCCACTCGAAGGAGTTGGACAACGAGGCATCGCCGACAGTTAGATAAATGTTGTACAGGCCATTTTCATAGTTGAAATTCTTGGCCTGATTGCCCACATCCATATCGAATTTGTAGGCTTTACTGCTGTCTTGCTCCGCTACGAAGATAATCTCCTTGTCCGTGTTCTTGTTGTGCAGGCGCACAAATGCCTGATGCACGGTGATTGGTTTACTGTCGCGCTCATCGACCAGCTGCGCCTTCAGCAGCAGCTTCTGCGTACTGTCCGCGGTTAGCGTGTCCTTCAATTTGTTGGGAAAATTGATGCTTTGCTTGCGTGTAGCAGCACTAGCATCTGATTCGGCAATGCCCAACTCTAAAGATTGCACCTTGACACGTCCTAGCACCTTGAATTGCACTTTCTGCTTGTAGACACCATCGCCATTCAATTCAGCCACATAGATGCCGCGTCCTGGCTTAAGGCTGCTCAAGTCAGCTGCATAGGTCGTTTTGTCAGATGATTTGGAAACCAACTGAATCTTCTCTGACAGCACTGAGTTATCTTTCTTGACACTAATCTTGGCACTGACACTCTGCACAGCAGGCGACAGTGGCTTGCCGAGCAAATCGACAATGGCCACATTCAGTGTTGGTGACTGCGCATCCAGTTGTCCATTGCCAATTAGCTGAACACACACGGGCGATATCTTCTCGGTTCCACTTATTGTTTTCAGCGCCTCGATGAGCACATGCGCTCCTTTGGCAGTCTGCACAGAACGACGACTCAGCAAATAGTTGGCAAATTTAACAGCCTGCTCGGCCGTGACAGGTGCTGGCTTATTTAATGCCTTGGACACACCAAACACGCCGTTGAGTATCAAAGCCGTAATGCTCAAACCACCCTCGAATTGTAGCAGTTTGCCATCGACTTCGTCAGCCTGAACAACAGCATCTTCAATGCGATTTGCCACAAAACTGGCGCTTGGTCCCAGTTGGATTGCGGCATTGAAGGAATAGCCGAGACCGCTCAAGGTGTCATCCTTCTTCAACAGCTCCTGCAGCCGCTTGACAATTTTCGTCTGAGCCGCTTCACTAATCTCCACGCCGAGCGCCTTGTGTGTGGCTATCCGATAGTAAATCTCCGTTGTAGTGCCCAACTCTCCATCCAAGGAGCTATATACCGATGACAGCAGCGATTCGGCGAGTTTTGCCGTACAACGCAGATTTTTGTTGGCCCCAATCAGGTAGTAGTCTTTCTCAAAGTTCTGCAAATGTACATAATCTCAATACATCAAAATCTTTATGATTTGTTTTAGAGGTATCTCACATTTAGTTTGGATTCGGCGTGCAGCGTCACAATTTTCTGACAGAGCGTTTGCTTTGTCGCAGCATCAGAAGTTTCGATATTTAAGCTGGCAAAGAAAATCGACTGCAGGTCGTTGGAGCTTAGGCCATCGACAAAGACTTTTTGCAGGCGGGTTAGATCCTTTGGGCCCAGATGACTGTCGACGGTGCGCGCACTCCATGTCGTTGCTGCAGCGCACAGGACGCATAGGAGCATGAAGCCTGCCGCAGCACAAAATGAAAAAATTGAAGATATATATAATTGTATTGGAAAAGATTTCAGCAGCGAAGTTAATGTCGACGCCGGCAACAACGGCAGAGAACGAGACGGCGACAGCGCCTTTGCCGGCGTTTGCAGTGCATGCAGCACACGAGGAGCGATTGACTTTGGCGTCGATTTAAAACTACTGCAATTACTTACATAATCTCAACATTATCCTATATTGTGGGGCGTTGGGAAACGCAACTTATGGGCTATAGTATATTAAATAAAGAACACTTAAATAGCCTGCACCGCCTGTTTCAGCTTCGATATTTTTTACAGACACGTCAGCGGCAGTGTTGTCCCATTACGTTAAAGATAAGGGCTGGCGACTATTTTACAAACGAGTGTGCACACACCTATACTAAAAGAAAATCGACACGAAGTAGTTATCGATTAACGTCTTATCGATAGTTCAACTTGTTCCGTTAATTTAAATGGTCTTAAGTTACGCTTATCACGTTTCAAATTTAATATGTTTTGATTCGGTAATTTAATATTAACATTGAGTGACTTAAATTAAATAATGAACAATTAACTTCTATTAAGGTCCAAATTTCTCAGAGCATTCCGCCAAGGGTCTGCTCATAGAATATTTGACTTTGAAGTCCTTCGTAGTGTCTCCCTCATGATTCCATACAGTTATGGCTGTGGTGCAATAGAGCGGATACTTGTTAGCCCGCGCTTCCATACGCTCCTCATCCTCCGGCGGCTTATCCTTGCAGTAATTCTCAAAGTACTCAGTGTGATCGGGACCCAGATCAACCTTAACTGAATTCTGTCGATTGTATTCGTCAAAAAATTCTTGCCACAAAAATTGCTCCATACGATTAGCACGTGTAGCTGTAATAAAAAAAGGAGCAAATAATATTTCACGCTATAAGCTTGCCAATGATGGGCTCTCACTCAGCTTTTTGTTTCGGGCTGGTGGCCCAAAACTACGCTGAGTCTCGGTAGTTTCAGCCGGACAAGGCCCCTTGCCCCTTAAGCGAAAGTTTTCGTTTTGGTTCATTTTGTGTTTAAACTAACGAAAATAATTTATTATTGTGATACAAGCAATGATATCTATTTTGAATGATTGCTTTGTTAAGGTAAACATAGTATTCCGGGCTTGACAACAGGCCCAAGCTGCTAAGCAACCGACTGTTGCGTCTGCTGTGGTGCATCGTCCTCGACAATGAGGGTGACATCCTTGGGTCGCAGTATCGAGTAGTAAACAATTATGGTGGCCAGAAACAGAATGCCGCTGTAGACGATCCATTCCCAAATGAAACCAAACCACCACGATTCAAACTCTTCTGCTCCATACCAGATGGAAGTCATGGTGATGTTCTCCACCAGGATGAGCACTAGATACCAGCCATACCACCTTCGCACACTCTTAAAGCACACACGAAGCTCCAACAGCACAAATATGTATATATACGCAAGCAGCAGAAAGAACAGTGTGCGGCTCCAGCTGCCTCGGCAGCGTGTCTCCAGCGCTAAGGCGGCCAGCATTACGGCATAGTGGACGCCCACAATGATGAAGAAGGCTCGGGGATAGAATACACAGAATGTGGCCAGCGACAGCATGCGCATAATGATGAAGGCTATCCAGCCAAAGAAGGCAACGGTTTTGCCCGCAAAGTCATCCTGCTGTATGCCATTCACAATCTTTGTGGGTCGCGGAAAGTAAAAGTCCACCACATCCTTGGGAGTAAGAGGTGTGCCTTTGGGTGTCTGTGCCAGCACCAGAGGAGTACGCTCATCGCTGGACTCCTCCTCATCGACACGTCCGACGAGCAACTTTGGTGGCCGTGGCACATGGTCTTTAATGTACAGCTGTGCATTCATCAGCAGCATATCCTTGAATGTCTCTAGATGGGAGAGTGGCCGCGTCATGCGGCGACTACGTCTGTGCTCATTATCGGACATGGTGCGTCGCAAATCTGGCGCCACCTCTGGTGGACTGTTCTCTGTGGGCAGCCGGAGCATGGGCAGTGCTGGTGGCGCCGTCGATGGTGGTGGTGGAGGCGCTGGTGTCTCTGGCACAGTATCTAGTACTTCGATGCTGTCCACATGCTGCAGTTCCTCGCGTCGCAGCACCAATTTGGGCATGGCATGGTGAATCTTATCATCGTCGGTGGCATTGCCAGCAGCTACGCTGGGAGTGTGTAGCACGGCTTTGGTCTCTACCGTTTCCATTCCATCGTTGTCCACCTCATCATGACCACGTATGTTCAGTTCATGTGTGCCAACGGTTGCTTCCTGACTATGACCCTGCCTGGCATGAAAGTTCTCCATGATCTTCTCAGATTGGGGGAAGCTTGTTGTCACAGTGCGTTCCGATTCCCGTTTTCTACGCTCCACCTCGCCGCACAAGCGCTCATTCTGCTCCAGCCGACAGCGCTGTGCCTCCATCTGCTGTGGCGTTGCCCAGGGATAACAACGACCGACGCGTCGCTGGCTCTCAATACGATGATAGCTAGTCGTAATCGCCGCCAGATCTATGGCAGCGAATACCAGGCACATGCCCTGCAAGGTGGCTGCAATGATAACCATTAATATAATTTCAACTAATCTATGAAATACCCCTCCTTACATGTTTCATAGTTTCGGAAAAGATCCTCGCCGAGCATGTAGTACATTTGGAGTATAATCTGTGGAGCTGCCTGAGCATAGGCTTGGATTAGCAAATAAAGCTCAATGCTGGACGATTGCGTTGCCTTCGCCAAACACTTCATGCGCTGCACATCATCATCCTCATGGAAGAGCGCCTCAACCGACCAAAATAGCCGCATTGTAAACCTAACGAATGAATCATTGAGTTATTTGTTGATAAGCCAAGCAAATAGTTGTCAACTAACCGGTAAAGCACCGTGAATGGGAACAGCAACAGCTGAAGCATTCCCAGGCTACAGCTGACAAATGCACTGCGATTTGCCTGAACGCTTCTGCGCTGATCCCTGGAGCTGAGCACCAGGACGTAGGTGAGCAGCGGTGGCATCAGTACTATTATTAATGTACCAACTCCATAGCCTACATCATGTTGCCGGAAATGTTGATAGCTCAGTGCCAGGTCGGTTGCTGTCTGCAGCAAAAAGACCAGTAGCGCTAGACAGGTGGGAATTATGTAGGAGATATAGATACGAGTCCGGCTACGGATCGTATAGCCCAGTATGTGAGTGGGCGGACTTGCCGCATGACCCACCTCCACACTCATGTCCTTATTTTAGTATTCCTTGTGCTAATTTCACTTTTGATTCACTCTCCTCCAGCGCTTTACATGTTTCAATTGCGAAATTCTCGATGATACTGCCACTCCACTTATGAGTAAGCGCCGCCGATTCGCGCATTGCTCTCTCGGAATACCGCTTATCAATGGACGCTGATTAGATAAACGACTTGACTAGGTCTCGTGTTGGGACCGCCAAGGTTTGTTTATGTTTACTTGCACAAGTAGGGAGGGTTAAGAAACGATACATTAGTGGGAGAGAGGGAGAGAATTGAAGTACGCCATGAAATTTTACCACTTCCTTTTATTGCTTGTTTTTGAAAAGCAAAAATCGTGGCTTTATCGTAACTTTTTCTCTAAAAGATAGTAGTAGGTTAACTGTTGAACATGTCCTGGTACTTTAAGATTCCCCTACAATTTTGACAAAGTTACAGCTATGGAAAGTTTTGATCCTTCTTAGGTATAACTTTTTGGAAGTATAATTTTAAAATAAATATCGGGCTATAATCGCGTTTCCAGCTTTAAATGTAATATTATCCCACAGGAATAACTATAAATAAAAAGCCAAGATTTTGGCAAATCGGTGCCATTTGAAAAAGTTATAAATTTGTGAAGTGCTTACACGTCTCAAGTAAATATTTTTGGGGTTATAATTTGAAATGAAAATGAATTCAGAATCTTGTTTTAAACTTTAACTTTCGGTGATGTAGAAAACGGGGTATTTCAAAATATGATCCATTTTGAGAAAATTATGACTACGGAAAGTCTTGACCCAAGCACTACAAGCATTTTCTGGAAGTATAATTTTAAATGAAAATTAAGTCAGAATCACGTTTCAAACTTTAAGTTTTAGTAGTATTAATCTACAGGTCTAATTATAAATAAAAAGCCCCTGCAGGGCTGCAAGATCGTACTTAAATTTGTGAGAATCGAATAGAGGGGTGTTATTTAAAAATGTGTTGATCTGATGATCATAAATCATTAAACAATTGGGAAAAAGTAGTCAGATTGTTGATGGTAGATGAAAACCTACAATCGTATGTACATATATACAAATAATACGGAGTATTTGAGTTGAAAAAAATATTAAACAAAAACTGGGCTTATTTTATTAATACCATTATAAAGACTAACAACTTAATTGAATTCGATATATCAATAAGTAAATTCTTTATTATTTTAATTGATGAATTTTGTCTAAGAATCATACCAAGTCTTCTTCATCCAATTGGAAGGCTTACAAGGCTCATCGAGCACCACAAAGGATCCCTTCTGGTTTTCAGTGTTCTGCTTGGCTCGGCGACAGCCCACAGCATACTTGGGATTACCCTCTATGATGGAGGATTTGTCGCGACAGTTGACCGCATTTTGCAGCACAGAGGCGCGTCTACCGTATCTGGCCGGTTTCTGAGCACCGCCACCAATGGCGACATCCTCGAAAGTGGGCACAGCCGGTGGTGGTTCCTTCATCTGACGATGACGCGACGGACGTCGCTTGGCCTGTGACTGCAGATGAGACGCTTCGAACGAGGAATCCGAGCTCTTGCGCAAATTACCAGGTGGCGTTGCAGCTGGAGCCGCAGCAGGTGGAACGTGCTCACGTGGTCGCTCCCGTTCTCGCAGCTGATAATTGTACTGGGCCCTTCGGTATTCGGGCGTGGCAGTTAATTCGTCGGCAGTTAAGTAGCTGGCAGCAGCAGCAGCAGGCTCACGCTCCAAACGTGGACTGGTGGGGGTGGTGCTGGTTGTGGTTTTGGTGGTGTTCGTGCTGGTGGTATTGGGCAGTCGAAATGAGGAGACTGGCTTGTGTACCACGGGACGCGAGCGTGGGAAATCTAAATAGTTGTTGCGATACTCGGGATTAAATTCGATCTTGCCACGCAGGCGCAGGTAGGGCTCCCGCACCTTGCCCCGCTCGGGCATCTCGGTGATATGTGGATCACGGAAACTCTCATGATACTCGGGCACCTCTTTGGTGAACTCGCCACGCGGCCGCAGATGGTCGTCCGTCTTCAACGATTTCTCTTTGACCATGTGCTTGGGTGGGACATTATATTTATCGCGATACTCGGCCACATCGCCGCCGCTTGGCTTATCATCTGTGGTGCTCTGCTGTTCCGCGCCAGAGACGCGCAGATTGTCATGCTTTTTGATGGGGGCACTCTTCGAATAGTTGGCATACATCTTGAAGCTGTCCTGATACTCGGGCACAGTGACAAAATCGCCCTGCATCTTGATGCTGCTCATCTGGGGTATGGAGTGCGCCTTCTCGATGGGAAACTGCTCGACAAACTGACGCTTGTACTCGGATGGTGTTGCCTCGTACTCGGTGTCTTCTGCCCGCATCTGCAGATGGCATCGATGCTGCTCCTGGGCGGCAACGTCCCGCTTGAACTTATCGCTCGCCAGCCGGTTGGGCGGCTCCTCGCGAAACATTTCCCGAGGCAGAATTTGCGAGCCGCTATCCACCATGGGATAGGACAGATACGATGAGTTCTTCATCGCGCCAAGCCCATTGCTCTCAGCGCTGCGGCCCAGCTGCAAGTTCTCCGGGTTGCGGACTGGAAACGTGCGCGAACTGCAAGCAAATCATATTTCATATTCCAGATTATTTACCTTTTTTTTTAACTTTTTGAATCTTACTTTTAATTGCTAACAATTTAAAATTCGCAGTTTAAATATTGGAAAAATAACTTACAACTGCAGATCCTCGGGCGTGAACCAATGATATTTCTCCTGATGCTCCGACAGTAGCTGCATTAAGCCCTCCAGACGCAGCGATGTGGCACGCCTCAACAGGGAACGGGGTCGCGAATGGGCGTGACCCTGGCAGCAATAATGTTTACGGTACTCTGACTTCAACGAACCAAAGGATAACGTTGGCTCGTCGCTATTGTAGAGGCAGATGTTGCTATGCGTATGCAGCTGTGTGGGCTGACGACGCCGGAAGAACTTGAGATCATCGACGGCAATGTGCTCATGGGGGTGCTTGATGGTAAAGCGGTCGCTGTGCTGCTGCTTCTGGCTGCATGAAAGATCCGGCTCCGAGAACGAACGATTCCAATTGAATTCCGCCTCGGCACTGCAAACGGCAAACAAAAGACGAAAACTTTGTTAGCCATAAATTGGCAAAATGGGGGGCTGCGATTGTCTGAGCCTTGGATACGTTTGCAACGTTTGGCGTTACCATTGGAAGCAAATAACAGGGAATCGAAGCGGCATTTCTAATAGTGGCAAAAAATTAAGTGCTACAAAAAAAAAGTCGGCGATGAGCATGCTTAACAATCGCATACCCCCTGTATACCTATATATATATCTAAAGGGACTTACGAATCCAACAAGTATCTTAGCCTTCGCAGTAAATTTAATTTCCCAAATATGCCCAAATATATTTCAAAATCAACCGCATGAAATAGTAAAAACCTCAAAGACAATCAGCAACTTTTTTTTTGTAATAAAAACTAAACATCGAATAAGATATCAATTTTATTTATAAAGGTGCAGAGAAGATCTGGCCAACATACCCCCAAGCACTAAGGCGAAAACATCAACACTACGATAGAGAATCTAAGCAAATGGTGCCTTATGAATAATACCATTACGCCTTTAGCTTAGCTCTGGTTCGCTCTAAGGGAATTTTTTCATAGCGTGCCAGCACGCACAGAATAAACTTACTAAAAAACTCCGGCACACACAAACACACACACACACACACACGGGTGTGTGGCACACCTGCTGGCATGTGTTGCTAGGCACACACACAACTGACAGACAAACTGACAATAAAACAAATTGCAACAAATTGGAAAATTGTCTATTCGACTTACATCGAATGCAAAAGGATTGGCCAGCTATCGATTGCCGCCGCCAGTTGCATTTAGTTATTGGAATCACCCCTCCCCCCACCCAGCAAAACCAATCGTAAGCCGGAAATGGGTTTTGTTTTAAGTTGACTGTGAGTCATTTCATTCAAAAGTGGCTAATTACAGCGGCGTGTTTGGGCACACATAAATGATGAACCTTTCCTCACACGCGAATGCCAGTAGACGTGGCCAGGCCACACACCTGTTGCCTGTTCCTGTTGTAAAAGTTGTAGCTGTTTCTGTTGTTGTCGGTGTGGTTCTTGCTGTATTATGGCCGGCATATTTGCATTTGTAATGGGCAAGAGATTTGCATATGCATTCACAGCTATATTCTTTTATGCAAAGACCATCAATCTTAACTTTCGCAAATGCCAAAAGTGTTCGCCAGCAAAGGATTAGCTAATCGTCGTCCTAGATAGTACCCACTGAAATCTAAACATTTTAAGTTTAAGTTATACTTAATATGAAATGTGATCTAAGAGGGACCATTTTCCATGTCAAGCCGTGTGAGTTTATTGCAAAAACCTGTACAAATCTTATTTAAATATTCCATATTCCATGCAAACTGTATCACAGTAAATTTCAAGTCAAGATAAATTGCACTTAGAGTAAATTTTTCATACTAGCCTTTCATTCGCATGCTCTACAAGTTGATTATAATCCAAAAATAGTTATGCATTTATGCAAAAAGGGTAGCAAAGGCAAAGCACTTAATGGTTATAAATCATGAGCGTGTTGTCAGTGTCAGCTTTGTATCAGTTCTTGCCAAAAAGCCTGATGTCAGCTGCAGTTGTAATTGCGTGCGTGACTGTTACCTCAAAACGGAAATAGACACAAACAACACGACTCCGGCAGAACTTGCCCAAATCATGTTGGGTTCAAGTTGTAATAGCAACAGTGCCAAAACGTTGACCCAATTCGTCGTCTAACTCAAGGTGGTTAGATACGAAAGCAAGTCGGGAAAATCGCTTGAGTCGAAAATGGATCAGATGTATGTATACTCTTTTTATTTATAGTAGATGGTTGAATTAATAAAGGGAAAAAGTTTATTGATTGAAAAACAAAGTAGACCTTGACTACATTAAGTATTTTATTATTCTATAGTCTTCAACTAAGTCTTCTAACAAGGTGAGTAAATGTCCTTTGAAAACTAGACCTTCAACTTAGCTCCGCCTCTGTAACTTGATACAGATAAGTATCAGCTTGCTATATCTAAAGTTTATTTGCAAACAGGAATTCTTCAACTTCAAGTGTATTTTTAGCCTTTAACTTATTGTTTTAAATTTATTTTTTGTAAATACTCCAGCGGTCTAATCTTGACAATGCCAAAATGACCTTTGGTTAGTTTGGCTATTTTTATTATTCGCGACCAAGGCGTAACGCAACCCAGTTAAATATGCTAATCAATTGGCAATTACAGTACCAGCAGCAAGAATAACAACAGTAAACACAAGTACACAAACTGTTGTACATAATTATATATAGATTTATGGGCGGCATTTAATTTACATTTGCATGTCACGCCACGGGGCGTATACGTAATGCCCGAGACATGAATGCACCATTATGCTAACAACAACAACATCAACAACAACTAAGCCGTGGTCAAGGCCATGGCTCACAGCACAGATAGCGTAGCAGATAGATAGTTTAACAATCTAATTTCAAACTTTACCCATCACTGATATTCCAGTCCATTTTGCTGCTGCTGTTCACTTTCGCACTCTTTTTAGAAAAGGGCACCGAGCAGGAGGAGTTGCAACCGTAAATGCCTGCGAGTAGCCGCCATGACTTGGCCACTGTCCATGTCCAAGGGGTCGCACATTAGGAAGACGCGTTACTTAAAAGCATGCGCTGCGCGAGCGCAAACAACAACTTGACCGCTCAAATCGTAAATTCCAACTGAGCCACAGCTCAACTTCACACGCCAAAAAAAACTTAAATAAAGGCGTGCGAGTCGAAGTTGTGTATGCGAGTGACTCCCTCTCTGTGGGTGTGTGTGTGTGTTTTTGGCTCTGACTGTGCGCGAATTTAGTTGAAGGTGTCATATTAGTGTTCACATAATATTTCATGGCATTTTGGAGTCGCTGCCAAATAGTGCAGTTGATTGGTTTACAGCTGCCAGCTGTCAGCTTTGAGAGTCCTTATTGGGGCCAGTTGCATTTCGCATGCATTCTTCATGGAGCCACTGCCCATTTCAATTCGCAACGCATTCTCCAATCAGGATAATAATTTCCGCGCAGCAGTCACGCAATTCGACTGCTCCAGCTCCTGCTTCTGCTCCTCTTCTACCATTTTCATTGCTTTCAATTGTCAAGAACTGTGGCCGTTTCCGGCGCACATGTGGGTCAAGAGCAAAGCAATTCGTTGGCGGATGTGTCGACTGCTTTATGTGAATGTGGCTTTCACAATTGTGCTAGTTACTTTATTAAGTCCATGTTAACTGCGTTAACTACAATACTATTAATTAACTGGTATTTGGTAAGTGCGTCAGCAAATTTAAGTGTCAGATCTTGGAGAGCCCCTCCCAACGATCGGGCACCATGCTAAAATACCGATCCATTGCCTCCACAAAGCGCTGCTTATACGGCTGTGGAGCCAACACAGTCGGTGACTTGCCAATGCCGCCACCCAAAATGCCCGTCTGCTTTATCATCGACTCCAGCTTCTTGTCCAGCGTAAAAGTGCGTATATAATCTGTAAATGACAAGGCCAAAATCAAATATTATGCCACCAATGTTGGGGTTTTATGCACACACCTATAATGCCCAGGACAAGCACATTGCGCTTGTAATCCAATCCCACCAGCAAGGAGTAGTCCATCACCTCGTTGCGCTCCAGAAATGAGGCATCTCTTTGTATAGCATCACGCAGCACAGCTTTGCTGTGAGATAACACGTACAGCGGCTTCGACCAAGACACTGCAAGGCAATTCGTTCAGTTAAAAAGGAAATAAATCTAACTAAAGATAGCAGAAACAGTTTGGTAATATTTGCTATAAACCCAATGAAAATAATGCTGGTTACAATTGTAGTTTCTAAAGTTAAACTATGACTAAGTTACATATAAACAAGTTAAAAATTATTAGATTCTCCTTGGAAACTGTTGCATTTCAAATAAAGTACTTACTCTGGACAAGATTCTCATCGAGCAAGACTATCTCGCCATTTGTATTGTTGGGATCTACGAGGCGATTGCGCTCCGAGCCCTTTAAGTCGAATTTGTTGGATATGTCGCAGCCGTAGAACAAGTTCTCCATGACCAGCAATGTTTTTTCAACAAATGTGCTGCAAGGGCAATGACCTCGATTAGTATATAGATATATATAAATTCATAGTTTGTTTAGGGACTGCACTTACTCTTTGTTCTTGACGCTGACTTTGAAGACGCCAAATATTTTGGCCAGCAACGTGGGCTGATCCTTTTGCTGTTTGCACTTGCCAATATATTCCAGGTACTCGGGCACAAAGCTCTCAAACAGAATCATTTCCTTTTTGTTCATCTCCTTCAGCACGAAACGATCATCTGCAAAAGTGGCTCCAACATGAACTATGTGCAAATAAGAGGAGGTTGTTGCCCAGCTTACCTAGAGTTTTGCAGAATCGTGAGCCAGATTTGCCGCCACGCGCCTCCCATTGCATACTGCTGGAGAGGCTGCGTGCGAGAGCAATGCGTGACTCCTCTTCGGCATTCGGCTGCTCATCGTGTTGGCCGGCAACGTCGCTGGTCTTGGACACCAGCTCGATTTCGGAGCCATTGCGATTCAGTGAGATTCTCAGCTTGCTCTCCAGCTTGGGCGGACTCAAACATTTCGCGCGCAACGCATCAAATTCGCGTGCAAAATAAACCGTGCACTGGAAGAGGCAGCTGCTGCTGCTGCCGAAGGTCAGCGAGACATGTTGAGTCGGCGGTTGCGGTTGAGATTTGCTTGGCTTGTTGCGCTCCGATTCCGACTCGGGGGCAGCTGTGCCACTTGTCTCCTCGGCATCGCTATCCAACAACTGCTTGTGCTTCGGCTGCGGACTGGAGTTGGCTACGGCGCTGGCAGACTCGCCGGAAATGCAGCGCTGATACTCTGCTGATGTTAGGCCATAGGCAATTACCGAACTGAGATCATTTTCACGCACCAGAACAGGTATGCTGCCCATGGGCAATGTGAGATGATCCTGTGCCGCAATTGGTGATTGCAGCGCATTTGCCTGATTATTATTTGACTGACGCAGTGTTAGTAATCGGGACTTGATGGACTTCTTATCGGCATTGACATTAACTGTGGAGGCGAGCATCTGATCAACAGTGAGTGTCTTTTCACTGTCCGACGCATCTTCGCTGGAACATTCGATTGGAGCACCGCCGCTGTCCACTTGCTGCTGTTGGTTAGCTTTGCTTTTGGGCAGCTCCTGGTTGGGCGCATCCGGCTGCTCTGGTCGTAGCTCCTCGGTGCATATGGTGCCGGCGTCAACTTGATGTGGCAGCTTGTTCTGCTTTAGAGTCAGCTGCTCAATTTCGAGAAGACGTCGACACCACAGCTCAATGCTACCGGCCAGCTTACGCTTGGTCATGATGATGGCATCGCCAACGTCGTATGAATTCACCTGGCGTTCCGTCAACAGCGTGTGCACAATTTCCACCTTTTGCTTGAACGTGAACTGATCCTTGTTAAGCGTCGCCTTCAGGCTAGCTAAGAGGGGCGAGTTCTCCTCTTCGGTGGCCAGATCGGCGATGCGTTCGTGTATTCGAGTATACACCTCATGCCCGCGTAGCGAAAAGCTCTTGATCTCCTCCTGCACTTGGACGCCATTGAACGACTTGGGCGGCTCAATTTGCAGTGTCAGCGACGGCAGATCCGTTTCCCACACCTCAACGGGGATGTACTGGAACTTGGCGCCGACGCCACGAAAGCTGAAATGATGCACATAGTCGCGGTGTAGTGAGTGCTCGCAGGGAGTGCTCTGCTCCCCGGCTGCGATGCCAACCTCTGTGGGCGGTCGCCGCTTGTAGGCGTGGCCATGGAAACGCATCTCCAGATACTTGGCCAACGAGAGGCGTTTGGCGGCATCTGAGAGCGGCACCGCTGGCGTTCTGGCATTGCAGATGCTGCACCAGGACGTAAAATAGATACGCTTGGGATCCGAACGTGTCGAGTCCTCGGTGAGATAAACATGCACACAGCCCAGCGAGTGGACATAGCGACGCACATGGCCAAGCATGGGCAAATTGCAGGACGGACACATCGAATTGAAGAGACAGCAATAGCGCTGCAGGAACTGCTCCAGCATGATGTCGTGCTGACCATAGAACTTCATGTCCAGCAGCATAGGCAGCTTGCAGAATAGGGAAACGCCCTTCGGGTTGTAGTGAAAGCTGCAGAAGAGCACTGGCAAACGCTGATGATTCTGGGGATCGAGTGCGTCCTTGTACAGCTGCTCATCGGTGACCTTTTGCGGTCGCTGTGTAACCTCGGCGATCTTCTTCTTCTTCTGTCTGAGCACTTAAAATTTAAATGAATAATGGGAATAAAAAAGGAACGAGGAATCATAATGCATCAAGCACTTACTTGGCGCCTTGCCCTTGGGGAAACGACCACCAAATGAACGAAATTCGGCGAGCAGTGATTGAATATCTCGACTTGTGGCGGCTGTTGTTATCTTCATCTTGACAAAATCATGCGCGGGCAGCAATTGCTGTTCGTTCTCCTTGTCCTTGGCTGGCTGCAAACTAGTTTTAAGCACAGCATCTGCATCGGTGCTCTCGGGTCGCTCCAGTGCAGCTGGCGTCTTGGACCATTGCTTGGAGAAGTACAGCTCGGCAGGGAAGAGCTTGCGCAGCTTGCAATTGCGACCCTGCTCCGTCTCCAGATAGGGCAGCGGAAATGTAAGGCATGGACTGACCGACAGCAAAGTGGAGCTGAGCGCATTGCGGAAGCGATTATCGTAGCGCATCTCCACGGCCAAGGCAGGCACGTTAAGATTACCGGTTGGGTTGTTCATGGCGCCTGCCTGTGAGGAGCGCAATGGATCCGTGAAATCCGACACGTTCTCACTGACGGCCGATATAAACTTGTCCTCCGATTTCCGTTCGGCCAGCGGCCGCTTTGTGATCGACGAGGAGCGCAGCTGTGCCTCCGTTTCCGACTGTTCGTCTGCCGTTGCGTTTTCCGTATTGGGACTGGGCTCTTTCGAGTCGAAAAGAGACGGTTTGGGGCCAAGCGGCTGGGCAAACTCATCCAGCAGAAAGGACATCTCGAGGCGCCAATTGTAGCGGGCAAAGAGCAGCGCCGAGGCGACCCGCTTGGCGCGTGTCAGCTCCGCATTGTTGCCACCCCGGAGCAGGCAAGTGTAGCCACGCGGACTGTTCAGCTTCTCGAAGAACATGAGCGTCTTGCCGCCGGCATAGTTGCGTATATAGAAGTTATTGCAGTAGCCCAACTTGGGCGTCGTAATGGTCGACTCAATGGAGCTGACAATATCGCACTGGAGAGTGCGAGACAAACGCTCCATGACGGACAGTTTGACATCGACAACCAAAGTGACGTCGTGGGAGCGCAAGATATCCTGGGCAATGCCGGCAACATTCTTATGCACCAGCAGCACATTCGGCTTGAAGTTCATGAGGCGGGTGCAGACGTTGCGCAGATATTCCTTCTCCTGCAGCAGCACCGTCTCAATGGTCACAAACTTACCCTCAATGCGCTCATAGACAATGGGACACTGCAGCAGCAGGATGCGTGGCGAGGCCACATGCGTTGCCATATCCTTGTGCGCCACATTCTTGGAGAATGCCACGCCATGCACGATTTTCGAGTCTTTGCGCCTGCCGCCCGGCACCTTCTTAAAGTTAACATAGTTGCGTATGTCCATCAGATCGTTGGAGCAGTATTCGGGCTTAAAATGATTTGCTGCCGTCGAGCACAGGCCCTGCAGTACTTTGCCCCACTCGTTGTCCAATTGATGCGCATGTAGCAACTGGGCGAGCAGCTGCTCCTCATGAGCACAATAGGATTCGAGCAATTTGGTTGAAATTGTCGTCAGGCACATGTCATTCTCTAGTTCCAGCTCCTGGGCGGACTGAAAACTTAGCGAGACATTCATCGATTTGGGCGGTTGCGGTTCAGCGCTGCTATCAAACTGTGGACTTATCGGATTCGAGTGCTCATTGCTGGTGTCACGCGGCTCGGCAACGGCTGCACCTATGCGCGATAGCTCCGCAAATCGATAGTGTAGCGTAGCATCAAATTCCGTTTGCTCCGCATCCGGCACAATGGGCTCCAGAAAGCCAGCGGCTAACATTGCACTCAAGATGGCCACAGCTTGGACCTCATTGGCGGACTTGTTGTTTGTATTGAGAAACTCAATCAATTGCTGACCACAGTTCTGCACAGGCAACTCGCGCTGCATCTCCTCGTGTAGAGTGATCAGCGAATTCGATTGCTGCAATATGTTCTTGCGATCATCGATTGACAGCACCGTATAATTGGCCTGTGAACTGAAGCGCTCTTCCTGATAACCAACCGAGGGCTTGCGCGAGACTTGCACCCGCTGCTTCTGGGCGGCGAGTGTGGTCGGCGCATTACCCTGCTCCTCGAGTTTACTGCTTAGATGCTGCTGCAGCGCCAGCAGATCTTCGCCCATGTTCGAGCTGGATGATTTCAGTGTGCTGAGCACAATCTTGGCGCAGTAATTATTGCACACCTTCAAATCACCCTCGCAACGTATAATGCTGCCGGGCAAAACTTGATTGCAGCACTTGGAGCAGAAGATTTGGCCGCACAGACGACAGTGATGCTTGCGACGAAATGTGGAGAACTTTTGGGCACAGTCATAGCATTCCTTGGCCTTTGAGTCAGGCATCCACAGCAGCTGCAGCTCCGTGTCCTTATAGTTGCGCATATCCTAAAAGAGCAAGCTCAAAATTAAAATTACTTCTCATTTCATAGCAGGCGCAACTTACATTATCATTCTTCGAGGCAACAATGTGACTAATGTGTTTGAGCACGTTGGAAACGGTGCGTCCTTGATTCTGATTCGCTTCACTGGGCAGCTCATAGATACGCTCATTGGCCTCCGAGTCTTCAACGGTTGTGGTGGTGTTCGTTGTGGTGTTGCTGCTGATACTCTGCGTGTCGCTATTGAGTCGCAGCTGCAGTGTTGTTGGCGGCTGCGGGCGATTTGTGCTCAAACTGGAAGATGAACTAGTCCTTGGAATGTCGCTCTCAATATCATCGTTGCCTGCCTCGACATTGACCGCAGCCTTCTCAGCGTAGAACTTGGACTTGCCCACTTGGAGGGCGCCACTGTTGGTGGTGGTACTGCTGCTGCCGCTGGATATGTCATTGACCGTGTTGTAGCTTTGATTGTAAACATTTTGGATTTTGTTGACGACGCGACCGAAAAGCGACTCGGGCTTCTCCTCAAAATTACGTGCGAATTCGGTTAATTTGCTTGGTGAGTGCAGATGTTGGTGTATGGAATGATTGTTATTACTGTTGCTGTTGCCATTATTATTACTACTGGTGCTGTTGTTGTTGTTAGTGCCACTCATGTTGAGGTGTTAAGTGAATTTGTGGCAGGAGTAGCGTCGTAGACGTGCTGCCGCGGGCGTTGCTCGTCCTTGGTTAGATAGCTGTTATATTCAACTGATCAATTAAAGCGGCGTCCGGAGCAAGTGAGCCAAGCGCCAGGTCCGTCCACTTTTGTTCCTATAAAAATAATTAATAGATCGCAGCATAAAAATAAACCTTATCGCTGGCATTGCTCACCTGTTCACTCAATGTTAGATGTGAATCACCGCCGTCGGCTTCGGGATCGGGTAGTTTCTCGATTGGTACTAATATCTGATCGAAGGGCAATACTTCCATTCGCCAAGCATTGTCCACAATGTCCAATAATAGATCATCAATAGGTGCCTGCAAAAATTCAGCAACGCCTCTTCTAAGAAACCAACAAAACACAAAAAACCATCTGAATTTCACTACGATAAGGTGATAACTGTTTTTTACTGCTTCTACATTCAGTCAGTCATTTTAATTACGTCATTGGCGGCTCCCGCGCCCCCGATTCCTATGGTTATCTGTGTATTTAAGTAGATCTCTAACAAAGTCACTTTTAGATAGCGCAAGTGGCGCGACTAATTTGTGTACATTATTTCTAATTTACACCAGCGTGTCAATCCAAATTATCGATATCGTAGCTACCTGCAGGGACTTAATGCCAACTTACTTGACTATCCATCACTTATATTATGCGCTGCGTTGATTATCCAGCTTTATTTAATCCTCTTATTAAAATTGTTTACGTTTTTCAGCGATAAGGCTGATCGGGATGCAACACTGTATAGATTGCCTATCGATAAGAGTTGGCTAAGAAAATAGTGCTGTAAAACGATGCAACCAAATGCGCGCCAGCTTTCAGGGTGGGCTGCCAACTTGTCTTTAATTTTAAGTTATTGTTGGCTTGTGGGCTTTTTAACTGTTTACATTTAAAGTGTTTACATTCTTTGATTATGAAATTGGGGTAAGCTAAAAAATTATGGTGCTAATTTTTACGATAAAGAAATTGTTTGATATTTATTATTCCAAAAAAAAGCAGCTTAAAAAACTCAATTTATTATTCTGTTGTTTTCTTTTCTAAATGTATTTAAATATATTAAAATATACTATAAAAATAGTTTTTACAAATCGTTTTAATAAATAATATTAGTGTTATTTTTCATATTTGTATAATTTGTACATATTTTAGAACTTTCTTTATAATTTCAGCTATTAATGATTATCATTTCCAAAAGGTTTTCAGTTGTAGATATTCTCGGTTATCATTTAGCTCTGTAAAGTTCCAATATCCTGACATTATCCTCTCTCATCGCCTGGCTGCAATAAAACAAAATTGTTAATATGAACAGAAAATATGTATTTCTAAAGGGAACTGAAAAACTAATGATTGGTATATTTTAATCCGTAGATACTCCAAGTTTCTAAGCATTTCAGGTATGGATATGTTGAGTGTTCCATTGAATAACTGACTAGATGCAGCATAGCGCTATAAGATGCGCTTTCAAACGTCAGCTATGCCGACATCTTGCCAATTCACCAACAGATGAGAATCGCGAGAGATAACGAGAAACGTTTGTAGTTGAACCACAAATTCCAGAAAAAACACACTTTTAACAAGTTCAACAATATATTTGTTATTGTAATTTAGCATGATAGAAACTTTTTTTTATCAATGAAATGCTTGTTTTTATGTGTTGGTTTATTTTTATTATTATTTGTTTTTTTGTTGCTCCGAGAGCACTTAGCAAGTTTTTATTTGTATTGGGGCGAACAACAAGAGGCAAAGGCAATTGTAATCCGTCAACGATGAAGACTAATTGGCAACTGATTTGAAAGCCATGAGTCGAGCTTAGCACCACACCTCGGCCAGACTAAAAGTGTGAGCCACAAAAAGCGACAACCACAGTGACAACAACAACAACAACAACAATAAGGCGGCTAGAAGTCCAAAAGCGACAATTGAAGAAGATTCAATTTATGTGCGTGTGTGTGTGTGTGTGCGATGTGCAGCTCACACACACCAAAAAAATTAAACATTTAAAGAAAAGAAATACAATAAAATGTTGTCTAAAACGGGGATTGATACCCGTTGGCAGCAGTTACACGTACACACACTCACACACACACACACAATCAAATACCTATGCAAAGTGGGGGTGATAAATACATACACACACACACACACACACATCGTGTGTGTATTAGTGTGTGTGTGTTTACTGTACAGACTGCCACTGGCAGGTAGCTGACGCTGTCCGCTGACGCTGAGCGTCAATGGCGCCTGCCCGGCATATTAATGAACTCCCATTTTGAAGTCAAAGAAAAAATATGAAATTAAAATAAAATGTAGTTGCCAACAAATAAAAAAAAACAGAAAAAAACCAAGCCGTGTCCACGTCCGAGTCACAGAGTCGCCGCCGTCGCCTCGATCGTATTGGAATTTTTTTAGTCTTTGTCGCCAATAGGGTCGGATCGAATGCATATATGCCAAATGTGGCTGGGTGGGATATTAAGATATGGCCTTACTTCCGCTCTGTGGGTATTGAAGACACCTGTAGGCAGTTAATTTCTTTCTTTCTTTTTTTCAATAGAACTCCAACTTGTTGAAGAATATATGTAAAAGAGTGCGGAGACAGTCTTTGCAAGTTGGAGCCCCTTCTCATTACATATATGTATTTATGGCCAATTAGAAAAAACAGTCACGTGCCTTGGCATTCAGCTACATACTGGGTATATACATATACATATATACACTTATATATATGTGTATCTCGACTTACACTTATATGTCTGCATTATATTCTTGTACTCACTATAGAATGTTGTACACTCGATTCTGTTGATTTGAGTTTCACTTAATGAATGCAACGCTTTTGGGGCTCCTCAGTTATAATTTGAATATTATTATTCATATACACACGTCGCACGTTTCGTTTGCTCACGCACCGATTTAGTGACCATATATATATATCTATATATATATAAAACAATTTGAATTCCAATGCTTGAGACATCATCGCAATGATTCAAAGAGTTTCATATGATTCGCCTGCAATTGTTTCATATTTTCAAATCGAAACCTTTTTGTAATACCAAACACAATTATGGCTTTAGCCATACCAAAAGTACCGTTGTCAATTTTTTGATTTCTTTGGTGGCCAATATTTTGTGTTTCCGTTTGTGACTTAAATTGTGACTTAATGCACAGATTTATATGCATTGCCACAGACAGCGATTTGGCCAGAGGTACTTTTACGTAGAGCCAATTGTTTCATAATATGTACGTCTTTCTAACTTAACTATCTATCATTTTTTTATAGTTACCTTGTATGCACATTCCATTTTAATGAAACTTTTTGTAATGATCAATTTAATATTTCGTGCACATTTTTTGGTAAGCAAGGAAGTTATTTTCTTATTCTAACAAAAAAAAACAACCGACAATTTCTCATGAAATTGAACGGAAATGAGTGTGGAAAGCATTTTTAACTAAAAAAGTTGAGAGATAAAGCATCTAGTACCTTTTTATATGGAAAACATTTTCGACTGTTCATTAATTTCATCATGAGTAAATACAAATAAATAAATTATATTTTAAAAGTATTTAATATTAATAGTTGAATTCTTTTTTAAATTGGTTTTAATGCAATTGACTTTTTGAAATGCTAATTTATAGTAAGATAATACAAAACCCTTCAAAGAAACGTGTGTGATTCTTTAAATAAATATACTTAGAAACAATAACCAAAAATTTAATTTCGGTGAAGTTTTCATAAATGACGCCGGACGAAATGGTTTCAGTTTATTATAAATAAATCAGAAATATAAAACTTGGATAAATGTATTGTGATTAATATTGAGCCCACCCTAAAAACGTATTTATTAACCGCAGAAGTAGAATAATACGTCAATTTTGTTTCATTAATGCGTATGTAGTTTTATAAATGTATCCATTAACTTTAAAAATAGAAAAGTTCGCAATAAAACATTAATTATTTTTTTTACACAGACATTTGAATTTAAAAAGTTGCGCCTTAATGTTTGGTGCTGCCAAAACGTTGCTAAATTAGCAAATGGTAACCCTGAGCGATATTTTCTTAAAAAATCTATTATTTTAGTTTCTGTACGCCGATGGAACTATCGATAGTTTCTAGACAACTGTTGAATTCAAATTCGAACTCCCACTCGTAGTTATATTGTAAAGCTAATCAAAAACAAGAGCGAATTGTTGTTATTAAAAACATACACCATTGAGAATATTATCGTCAGATAAATTGAGTATTGATCTTAGTTATATTACTTCTACAAGTGTGTATCACATGCTGTTAACAACAGTTTTTAGAATGTTAAAGTCACTGACACTGTTAAATTTTACAGTTGCTTGGATTTTTGTAGCGAATTCTAAACACAAACAAAATAACTTTTTATTTGTAATAATTTGCTCAATTAAGCTAAGTAGACTGAATAAATATGCGTCCCAAACTAAGCATAAGAGACGAAGTGGAACAACTATTCGAGAAGAAGTTCCAATACCAAAAGCCAAAAACCGGCGCCTGGCAGCTGCCCTTGCAGGAGCCGCTCTTCAGCGAATTCTATCAATATGAGTCGCTGCAGAATCTCAAGGAGCAGCTGAACGGAGTCAAAAGCAAGCTCAACAATTATGGGGTACAGGAGTGGAGTACACACACCAACAGGCGGGATCCGTCCGGCGAGATATCCTGGCGTCTCAAAAATGAAACCAAAGCGGAATTTGTCACAGTGAGTGAGGAAAGTAACAAGATGATTATGTATCAACTAATGAATGGATTTTTAGGTTGCCTGGTGCAAGTTTTTCGAGTGCCTGCATCGTTATCCACTGGTCAAACAGCCGCAACTAAATACTTTGCACCTGTGCGAGGCACCTGGCGCTTTTATAGCAGCTCTGAATCATTACCTGCATTCGGTTTACAAACACGACGAGGTTTTTAAAGAATTCGAAAGAGATTAAGAAGCAATTTCAAACTAATCTAATCCAATTTCAGGTAAAGTGGCGCTGGCGATCGACAACCTTGAATCCTTACTACGAGGGCAATGCGTTAAATGAAATGATAACCGATGATCGCTTCATATTTCACACCTTGGACAATTGGCTCTTTCACAAGGATCTCACTGGCAACCTGCTCAATGTCGACAACATCGAACATATGACGAAACGCTGCGCTGAGGATTTGCTGGACGAGGTGCACTTGATTACAGCCGATGGATCTATCGATTGTTCCGCACAGCCCGATTGCCAGGAGGAGCTAGTAGCGCGTCTATTCGTTGCAGAGATAATCAGTGCCCTGAACATACTCAAAGACGGCGGCAATTTCGTGATTAAAATGTTTACGCTCTTCGAGGCGTGCAGCGTATCGCTAATCTATTTGCTGAACTGCATATTCCGTGCTGTGCACATCTACAAGCCGGCGACCTCGAAGCGCGGCAATTCGGAAGTCTATGTCATCTGTATGGACTACCAGAAACAGACTCCGGGATTGCCGCGCATCCTGCAAGCGATGCGTGTTAAGCTGGCCCAGTCCAGCGATACAATGGTCCTCCCACTGTTTAGTAAAGCGCAAATACCCAGTGATTTTGTGATGCAACACGAAATCGGGTGTCGTCTCTATTTGAAGCTGCAGCAGGAGGCAATCGAGGGCAGCATTTACGCCTACGAGACGAAGGACCGCTACTACTTGCGTCATTTGCATCAGTTGCGCGGCGTTGTCTCGTCCATGTATTACAATCGCTACAAGGTGCGTCCGCTGGCCGATGAGCTGTGCATCGTCAAGCAAGAGGATATTAATCAGGCCCTGGGTTACTCGGTGCCCGTTTATGGTGGCTCGTACACGGAACGCGAGAATCTGCGTCAGGGCGATCTGCTCAAGCAAATCTACTGCCTGAGACGCGAATTCAATCAGCTCGAAAAGTGTCCAACTGGCAAAAGTAGTTATAAGCACAAGCAGCATCGTGTCGGCTCCCTTCAAATGCAGCTGTCCAAGGGTGCAGCTGTGCAAGAGCTGCAGAGCAGCCTCTTTGCATCGGAACCGATACTGTTGCTGCGTTTGCGAATTCTGGACATCTTCGAGCTGGATCCGCTGTGGCAAACGGCGCCCAAATGCTTGTTCTTCGATGGCAGCAACAACTCTAAGACACTTGATTACGCACCCTCGAGCGAAGGGAATGAGTCAACATTTCATGTGGTTCAGCGACGGTTTTTTGTCACGCTGGTTGAGTCACTGCTGGCAGCGCGGCCAGCGAAAATCGTCTTCCAGAACTTTACGTTTCTCACACATTATGCGGCATCGGTGCTGCTCTTCCTTGCTGAAATAATCTACGAGCACACCGAATTCGATCAGCACATAACATTGAGTGGCTGCCACAAGAACAATGATGCCACAGAGCAGCTGCAGCAACTGCAAAAATTTTTGAGCGATGATCTCGGCGATGCGGATGAAGCTATTCATAGCGTGCTGCATCTGCGCGAGCTGCAGAAAAATGCGTTTAGCAATGCCCTAATCCTGCACAACAATAGCATTCTCTTGGAATGCTTCCGCCGCATGCTCGGCGAGGATTCGTTCCCCAGGCGGATGAGCGTCGAGCAGACACAAATCGTCCAAGACATTAAGGAGACTACAACGATCGTGTGCTAATTGCATCCAATATATAGAAAATATGTATAATTTTTATATAAAATATTTAAAAATTACAAAATAATTTGCTGGGATTTGGAAGATTCCAGTAGTTGAAAACAGAAGATATTAAAAATTGTTTCTAAAAAAGAGACTTGAATACCTATCATTAAATGTATTCTAATTTCCAGCTGTAGACTAATTTTTAAAAGTCTGATTTATTTATAAAAATCATAGACGAGACCTTTTGTATTCAATATAACACTTTCTTTTGATGGATATTCTGGAAATATTGAATATAACACATTTAAGAGCACAAGTTCCCATGAAAACAAAATGTTTTTGATAATAAGAATTAACGATTCTAATTTCTGGAAAGTTCCAATTTTATGGCGATCACTGTTCTTTGTTGTTCTTGTTCTTGTTTAAACATAAATAATTGTTGATTATAATGATTTTCGTTTACACATTGAATTTTTGTTTGTTTTAATATTTAAAAAACAATTAATGAAAATTAGTGTCTACTACAAGTATTACTCGAGTTTATACAAATTTGACAAGGACCCGTAGTATAAACAGGGTATTATTGCTACCGGCTTCAGTTAACACACATATTATGAATCAGTATATGTGATATTTGTTTCCATCGTTATCTTCTACGCAATTTCGTGTGTTAATGTTTGTTTAATGCTTTTAATTCCTTTACTCGTTCGGCGTTTTTCAGTTTGGATTTACTAATCGGCTTCGTTTGCTGTTGCTGGGTGCCGACTCCGATTCCGATTCCTCCTCCTCCTCCTCCACATCTTCATCCTCCGCATCGTTGGACTAATCAGCCGGACGCTTTTCGCTGTGTTTCCTGGTATAATCCTCGGCGTTCTTCACAAACTTCTTCTTGTCCTTGAGAAACTCCTCGGCCAGTTCGGCGCGCAACGGATGCTCTGGCTCGGGATCGTTAATTAATGCTATCAGCGCCTGGACGACTTGATCCGTGCGGGTCGCTGGCTTCCAGTTCTCGGTACTGATGATGGGCAGACACACCTGGCCCTTCTCATCGATGTTCGGATGATAGATTTTCGTTTTGAAGCTTATCTTTGGTGGCTTAAAGGGATACTCTGCCGGAAAATTGATTTCGATGCGAAAGGCGCCCTTGTTGTACGGCGGATTGTCGGGCACAATCAGGCCCGTCCAGCGCAGCAGATTATCATCGTCGGCCTTGATATCGCGAAACGATTTTAAGCTGCTTTCCTGCAAATCTACCAGCTCCTTGCGCAGACGTCGCGGGGCAGTCATTTTTTTTTACAGTATAATATATATATTTGTTATATGGATAATTGCTCCAAATCGATGGAACCAGCAGATATAAGCCAATTTTGCAGATGATGCAATAGTTTGTTGACAATTATTTGCTATGCGCTTGGAGAATTGTGTGCCAATTTACCACTCTTTACACATTTTATTAGGGCAAAGCTCTATTCAATTTTTTTATTCTCATCAGAGTTGTGTGGTCTTGTTCGTTTTTGTGTCGTTATTTAGGTAATTATTTAATATTTCTATGCTGATGACGCGTTTTGCGGCCGTATGGCAACCCTGCAAAAGTTGTTAATGCTATTTGACTCTTTTTAACATGTGACATTTCCCTTAATAAGCAGAACACCTGCGAGAGCTATACGTTTATACGTTAAAGTTGCAATTCATGCAATGCTGGTAGGTGCTTTAAATCAAAATATTTTCTCTTTGGGATAATCTATATACCCCAAGTGACATTTATGCAACGCCTACAAACTGCCAATATTTCATTTCTTCTCATTCTTCTGTGGGAATTTCTTTTTAATTTTTTATTGTTAGTCCCATTAATTTTCTTTAATACGTTCAGCGCCGGTTAATTGAACGCAAAAAGTGCAACGCAAATTGAACAAATGTGACATTCACACAAAATGTAAATAAACTGCTCCTATCCATATATCGATACACGTATCGCTTACAATCGAAATTTGTGCTGCAACACGTGCGCCGCGCTTAGATTCGTTTTGTTTTCTACAAATAATGGCGAAAAAATCGGCAATTAAGCGTAAAGTGAAGGCGCCTGAGTCCATAAATGAGCAAGCCTCAGTTTCCGAGCAGTCTGAGAACGAAGAGGATGAGGTAAACATTCAGAAATGTGTAATTTGTAAATGTGACAATGCAATTTGTTTTCGTTTTGTGTGTGTTTCTAAAAGGATCTGCTGCAAGCCGTCAAAGATCCTGGCGAGGATACAACGGACGATGAGGGCATAGATCAGGAATATCAGTCGGATACCAGTGATGATCTGCTGTTTGAGAGCGACGAAGAAGGCAACTATTTGGGCAGAAAAGAGGCAAGTTCTGGAGAAGATGAACAGGGGGAGGAGGATGATAATGATGATGAGGAGGAGGAGGATGAGGATGAGGAGGAGTCTGGCAGCAGCGATGATGATGCTAAAGATGACCAGCCAAGCGGCAGTAAGGCTACGCTCAGCAAGACGACGGGCGATAGCTCAAATATTGCAGTAGCGATCCCGCCAAGACGGGATCCCTCCAAGCCCGAGTATGAGAATTCGGACACTTCCGATGAGGAGGATATACGCAACACAGTCGGCAACATACCCATGCACTGGTATGATGAGTACAAACACATAGGCTATGACTGGGATGCCAAGAAGATTATAAAACCGCCAAAGGGCGATCAAATTGATGACTTTTTGCGCAAGATCGAGGATCCTGATTTCTGGCGCACCGTCAAGGACCCACAGACTGGACAAGAAGTGCTGCTAACCGATGAGGACATAGCACTGATCAAACGCGTAAATTCCGCCCGAATACCCAATCCGGAGCACAATGAATACGAGCCATGGATCGAATGGTTCAGCTCCCAAGTGGAGAAGATGCCCATCAAGAATGTGCCCGATCACAAGCGTTCCTTCCTGCCGTCCGTTTCCGAAAAGAAGAAGGTCTCCCGCATGGTGCACGCCCTCAAAATGGGCTGGATGAAGACCACCGAAGAGGTGGAGCGCGACAAGCAACAGAAACGCGGACCCAAATTCTATATGCTCTGGGAAACGGATACGGGCCGTGAGCATATACGTCGCATCCACGATCCCGTCTCGGCGCCCAAACGTGATCTGCCCGGCCATGCGGAATCCTACAACCCACCGCCGGAGTATCTGTTCGATGCGAAGGAGATGAAGGAGTGGCTCAAATACAAGGATGAGCCGCACAAGCGCAAACTACACTTTATGCCACAGAAATTCAAATCGTTGCGCGAGGTGCCCGCCTATTCCCGCTTCCTGCGCGAACGCTTCTTGCGCTGCCTCGATCTTTACTTGTGTCCGCGTGCCAAGCGCGTCAAGCTGAACATAGATGCGGAGTATTTGATACCCAAATTGCCATCGCCACGCGATCTGCAACCATTCCCAACTGTGGAGAGTCTCGTCTATCGCGGCCACACGGATCTGGTGCGTTCCGTCAGTGTGGAACCGAAGGGCGAGTATATCGTATCCGGCTCCGATGACAAGACAGTTAAGAGTAAGTTGATCTCATCATTGCCACATTCATTTATTTAATTGTGTTCCATTCCGCTTGCAGTTTGGGAAATTGCCACAGGTCGTTGCATACGCACCATTGAGACGAACGATGTGGTGCGCTGCGTTGCCTGGTGTCCCAATGCGAAGCTATCGATCATTGCGGTGGCCACCGGCACTCGCCTGCTCCTCATCAATCCCAAGGTGGGTGACAAGCTGCTCGTTAAGAAGACGGATGATCTGCTCGCTGAGGCGCCCAGTTCGGATGTCATTGAGAGTGAGCGCATCAAGACCGCTGTCCAATGGTCGAATGCGGAGCCCGAAGAGCAGGAGAAGGGTGTGCGTGTGGTCATCACACACTTCAAGCCCATACGCCAGGTCACCTGGCATGGACGTGGCGATTATCTGGCCACTGTGATGCCCGAGGGCGCCAATCGCTCGGCACTGATACATCAGCTGTCCAAGCGACGATCCCAGATACCCTTCTCGAAGAGCAAGGGCCTCATCCAGTGCGTGCTCTTCCATCCAGTCAAGCCATGCTTCTTTGTTGCGGTGAGTCGCTTAAAGAGAGACCCTGAACTGTTGTCTATATATTTCCAATATATTCTGTCTATGATTGCAGACCCAGCACAATATACGCATCTATGATCTGGTCAAGCAGGAGCTGATCAAGAAGCTGTTAACCAACTCCAAGTGGATATCGGGAATGTCCATACATCCCAAAGGCGACAATCTGCTCGTGTCTACCTACGACAAAAAGATGCTGTGGTTCGATCTGGATTTGTCCACGAAACCATACCAAACGATGCGACTCCATCGCAATGCTGTCCGCAGCATCGCCTTCCATTTGCGTTATCCACTCTTTGCCTCTGGCAGCGATGACCAGGCTGTAATTGTTTCCCATGGCATGGTCTACAAGTAAGTATTGAGTATAAGAACATTTAGGCCTTTATGACAAAGTAACTGGTACAGTTTCGAATTGTAAATTTGTATTTTATTTTATTTATTTTTCTTTGTTTTTATTTTACAAATTAATTAATCACTAATCGTTATTTTTTTCTTTTAGTGATCTGCTGCAGAATCCTTTGATAGTCCCGCTCAAGAAGCTGCAGACGCATGAGAAACGCGATGAGTTTGGTGTCCTGGATGTGAATTGGCATCCGGTGCAGCCTTGGATCTTCTCAACGGGCGCTGATTGCACCATTCGACTCTACACGTGAAGCACATGCAGGATTGTGCGGCATACTTAGTTTTAAGTCATTGTCAATTTTTCCTATATGAAACTTGCGTTAGTAAACAATTTGTATCTTATTGAATGCCATATTTTGCTGTTCAAAGTGTCCTGGGTGAAAGCTTAAATACAACCCTGTGTGGCACCTACTCCTCCCCCGGGGCTCATACCTACAAGAGAGAGATGGAGAGTAAGAGTAACTTACTAAAACGAAGCGAAACGAAAAAGGAACGACAGCAACAAAAACAAAGGCGCCGCAATTGCTGATCATTTAATACATTTACAGTTCACAGATTACAGTTTTATACGCTCAGTTCGCAGAGCATTGTCCGAAAGCACAAATGCCTAATAAATTCCAGTCCAGTGCCAAGTTGAACAGAGAGCGGGAGAGAAGAAGAGCGAGCTTTTAGTCAATGTGCTGTGTGCTCTTTGCAAAACCACTCGCGCGCACATGTCGCAGCAGCGATGTGTACCAGGAATCTAATCGGTTCGCTTTCGGGGGTCCCAGCAACTGTATAGCTATTTGGGGGAGCTTTTTGCTTCAATCAGCAGTCAGTCGCCAGCTAGCCTTTGCCCATGCGAAGAGAAACGTTTGCACTTGTGCTCGTGCCGTCGTCGTCGGTCGTCGTAGTGGTTGTTGTCGCTGTCGTCGAGGATTTTGGGTTTTGGCTATCAGAGCGCGCACACACACACACAAAACAACTACAACCAAGAAATACAAAAAATAAAAGATAAAGAAAATAGCAAAGAAATTCACATACACGTATAGAAAAAAGCGCAGCAGTGAAAATGAAATGGCAATAATGTGGTAAAGGCAGAGCCTTAAGAGATCCAAAAAATAAAATTTAAAAAATATGGCAAGCACAAAAATGCCAAAAATGCCAAAAATGTGATTATATTGGAAAGATGAAAAATCAAAAACTCAACGAATGTAATCATCAAAAAAAAATTTAACGAGTGTCTAGCTAAGTTGCACTACTCACTCGCTCTCTCGCTCACACCCCCACCAACTATACCCTCCCCCCAACACTCACTCACTCACTCGCGCTCTCTCTTCTACCTCTCTCTTGCTCTGTGTAGAAATTGAATCAAAGCAAAAATCATTTAGAGCAAAAAGAAAAGAAACACAAAAAAAAAACCTACACACATATTTTTAGTGGCAGGCAAAAATTTGTATATATTCGTTGCTCCTAAATACAAATTAAAGCAGTGTGTGCGTGTGTGTAGGTGTGTGTGTGTATGTGTGTGTTTAAATATCAGCGGAAGCGAAACACGATTGAAAATGTTCGATATTTTAGCAAATGTAACAAATAAGCCCAGCATCAAATGCAATTAGCTGCTGTTGCTGCCGCAACAACAACAGCAACAAATCACGCATACGCCCCATAAGCTCCTACCCCCACTTTCCACCCACTGCCACATCCAATAAGAAAATAACGGTCAGGCGACCTCGCGAGCATGTGTATGTGTGTGAGTGTGCGTGTGTGTGTGTAATGACTAGCACAAGAAATAAATAAAATTTTCGACCAGCAACAGCAACAACAACAACAAAAACAAGAGCAGCAGCTCCAGCAGCTGCCCACTGGAAAAATACAATTTAAAAAGAAAAATAAAAAACAATTTCATAACACTGGAAGAAATTCTCGCATCAATGCGATGCTCAATTAGAAACTAAATTCGCTGTAAATACGAATCCAACAACAACAAGAACAACAACAGCAGCAAGAATCACTAGTGCATCTCCCCTCTCCCTTCCTCGCATCAGCCCACGCGAGCAAGAGCAGCGCGTCTAACGGATAATGTTGTGAACTAACGGTCGCTGCTGCACCAATAATAATGATGCAAAAATATTCATAACTGTCGTGTGTGCTGTGCTTTTACGTTTTTTTTTTACCAATAAGTAATAAAGAAAAGGAAGCAAACAAGCAAAGAAGAAGTGTCCAAAAAAATTATCTGCCCATGCATGTAAAAACTAACAAAAAAAATATAATAATAATAATCACTCGTTAAACCAAGAAGAAGAACAATAACGACAACAACAACTAGAACAAGAACAAGAAGCGCGCGTGAGAGCAAAAGAGTCGAAAGCACACAAGTGAAAAGCACTCGATAAAAGTTATTAGCAAAAACATAAATACGCAACTTGCTCTCTCTCTCTCTCTCTCTCTTTGGCTGGAAAGGGCGCCAGTGCGTGTGCTTGTGTGTGGGAGTGTGAGGTGAGAGCTGAGCACCGATAGCTGAGAGTGGGAGAGAGACAGGAACGAGACGGACTGTAGCTAGGTCAGTGGCAGTGGGCGGCCTAGCAGCGGCAGCTGTGGCAGCTACGCCAACGCCAGCCAACATCAACTTGTAACAGGTAAGTGTTCAAATTAATTCGAATGCCACTTGTGCCACCTTGTTGAATGATGTTTTTTTGATTTTGCAGCATGTCCTGCACCGTCTCCGAGTTGCCTAGTGGCTGTCGTCTGCGCGGCATGACTGCATCCAACAATGGAAACGGCAATGGCAATGGCAATGGTAACGGAAATGGTAACGGTAATGGGAATAGTGATAGTGTTGGCAACGCGGGCAGCGCTTTAAGCTCAACCGTAGCTGGAATGGGTATGGGTGGAAATGTCAGCGGCGGCGTCGGCGGGGGGACGGCAAACACAAGCATAACGCTGCCGGGCAGCGGAAGCGCCACATCGAATGTGCTGCAGGAGTCAAATGCGCCGCTGCAACGGCCGCAGTCACAGAAGCCGTGTTGCTTTTGCTGGTGTTGTTGTTGTTCCTGCTCCTGGTGAGTTGTTGTATATACTTATATATACATATATATATATATCTATAATGAACTGAATCTATTTCATTGCACGCCGCGGGTCGTCCAACCACAACAACAGGGCTAAGTGGTAAGTTCCTCGACACACACGCACACTCTCCCACTCCCACTCACACCCACACCCACGCACCCACGCAGCAAGTGAGTGGCATTGCCTGTTTGTGTTTCGGTTACATCTGGCAATGCTCTGTTCTAGGCGCATAGTAAAAGCTCGCTCTCGCTTTCTCTCTCTCTCCCTCTCACTAACTATATGTTTCATTCACAATTTGGAAAGCGCCATTAAAGCTCGCAGTAAGGCACCTTTTTCAAAAATTCATATTAAATGTTGTTGCGAAAAGTGTTTGCAAGTTTTCGTGAATGAAAATAAAAGCTCTTCTTGCTTGGGTGGCCATTTATATTTCTCCCGCGCCTTTGTATGCCTAACTGTTGTCCACCAATACGCATTTAATCACACAAGTACTTGTGAACCCAAATGCATACGCTATATATATACTATATATATATATATATATATATATATAAAGCATGTACCGTTATGTGTTATTGGCAAGCTGTCCAAGCGGGGTAAACAGATAACGAACTTTGATGAGTTTTACGTAGGGAGCATGTAATGCTTACCTGATACCAGGCAGCCAAATCTAATCGTAGATAACGTGTGGCCAGTTTAGAGGGAGCCACAGCGGTGGCAACAACAATTGCAACGCAAGCACAAATCTATCCAAATCGACGCAAACCCAGATCGAACAGCTGTTTCTCAAGCTTTTCGTGTCATAGCGATCCTTAGCGCAATTCTCATCAAATCCAAAGCTTTAAAATTAAAACAGTTGATTAAATACGGTTATTCAAGCTTTAAATGCAATGCTTGGCCTAACAAAACGAGTGCTGTACGTAAGAACGATTTACTTTATTTTGGTAACTTGCAATCTAAAAAATAATAATTACTATAGCATAGATAATACATACATGCAAACTATACAAACGAAAACTGCACTTTTATCCGTACTTCATGCAAATTTAAAAAGCTTATCTATCATATATAACACAAGTTTATCTTCTTTCTTTATGATAGTCTTGCCATCAAGAATGCAGATGAAAATGCGCCCACCAAACGTGATCTCGCTAACGCCGAATTCCTAGATGGCGATCAGTAAGAATCGATTCTAAAATCTCTCTTTTATATCTGCCTAGCTAAAACTATTTCTAATATCAATTTACAGACCCACATTAGAAGAAATACGTAGTTGGGGTAAAAGCTTTGACAAACTAATGAAAAGTTCGAGTAAGTAAAGAAAAAGCATAATTATTGCATTTGAGATATTTGCAATTTATTCGATATTATTGCAGATGGTCGCAAGGTTTTTCGTGACTTTCTGCGCAGCGAATTCAGTGAGGAGAACATATTGTTTTGGCTGGCCTGCGAGGATCTGAAGAAGGAGAACAGCGCCGCTCTTGTCGAGGAGAAGGCGCGCCTGATATACGAGGATTATATATCGATACTGTCGCCGCGCGAAGTGTCCCTCGATTCGCGGGTGCGCGAAATTGTTAATCGCAATATGATCGAGCCGACGACCCACACATTCGACGAAGCTCAAATACAAATCTATACGTTGATGCACAGAGACTCATATCCCAGGTAAATACATTAAATATCTATATCCGTATATATATGCATTTATCATTGTAATTGTGGTTAATTAACAGATTCCTAAACTCGCAAAAGTTCAAGACACTCGCTCAAATGCAAGACAATTCGAATGCCGGCTCCAAGGCGGATAGTCCCACTTAGATGTTATGTTTATACAAATTGTGCTATGTTGATTTTGTGGTTGTTGTCCCCCCTTCCCCCTTCCCCTGCCCCTCCCCTTCCATCTTCACCTTTTAACTATAGTATTCTCTTTGGTTATCCTTAAGCGAATTCAATTGGAACTATTACCGCTTCGGTCGCCATTCGCTCCGCTTCTGGACTTGAAACAAAGCAATATGTCATACAACCAAAAAAAAAAAAAAAAACCCAAATAGATCAAATTCCATTTGGCGTGTGCAGTACCAAAGATAATAAGTTTATAGAAAAAAAACACAGTACGACGATGGCGACGGACTCGGTGGCAGTTGGCCAAGGATACGCTCAAGGATCCGACCATTTAAGGCAACACAAAACAACTTAGACGATATAATGCATTATGTGAAACCGATTCCTTCTTTACAATGTTCTAGTCGTTAACAAACCAAAACAAAAAAAAAAAAGAAAAAAGAAAATCCAAAACAAAAACTAGGCAATTTATAAAATTAGTTGTTAACAAAAGTGAAAACCTCCATGCCATGAATTGGATTTAAGTACAGCAGGCATTTCTTTTTAGGGAGTTTAACATTTGAACTTTAAGCAACTTTAAGTTTATATTGTAAAATATATATACACATATATATAAATTAAATGCTGATCCCCCTCTACAAACTAGATGCGAAACAATTTGCATACAAATTGTAATAATTGTTAAACTAAGACGTATTAATCAAACTGAAATGAAACAACAACTTTAACGCAAATACTTTTTCCACAAGCCTAAAAACAAAAGAACAAACAAAAAAACCCAAAAAAATGCAACATTTTTAAACGTATTACTTACATTTATATACTTGTATGTAACTTAATTAGTTTTGAAAACGTTTTAGATCATACAAAATACAATACATATATGAATAGCGACATCGAAGCATTCTGTAAATACAATATATACAACAACAAAAATAATTATAATAATAAAAAAAAAAGAAAAGAAAATAAATACAAAAATATAGCAATTTAGTTGCGAGATTTGTGAAGAATAAAAACGTATATTATTATTAAAATAGGAATACGAACTCGAAATCAAGACAATTTGCATTGTGTCTAATGTTTATAAACAACTACTATGTAACGTAAAAAATCTTATAAACAATATATAGATTACTGTACACTTGTTTTTAAAAACATCATTTACAATAATGTCAAACAGTTCTTATAATCGGATAAAACCAAAACAAAAAAACAAAATCAAGCATACGAAACTAAACAATGTATGCATTACTAAGTATTTTATTTGGATAACGCATTGATTTCAAATCGCAAAAAAAAAAACAAAAAAACAAAAATATATGAAAAATAGTTACCAACAAAACGTTTTGCAATATCACTGCCAACTCCGTAAGAGATATATCATATATATATATTTATATAAATATATATATGCATATATATCACACATACAAAGCAGTTGCGTTTACTATCCGCACACACACGCACATACACACACACACACTGTCAACTGCGGGCTGGGCTTATCAAGATGAGACTAGAAACCCTTTCACAACATTGCCCAAAAAAAAAAATATATATATTAAAAAAATATTCACACGCCGAGGCGAGCTAGTTTTCAACTGCATTCAACAGCCAGTATTACAATATGAAACAAAGCATAACAAAACTTCGGCATGCCGACGCTTAAATACCCTTGCAGAGCTGCTTACTAATCTGTTTGCTAACCATACATCATTCTATCTAGTAGTCGAATACCTAATTGTAATTAGTTAAAGTTGTCGGCTTAGCTACAGCTAATTGTTCCTATAATAGCTTTATAATATATATAGTAGTCCGAATCGATATACTTCATCAGTTTTCTTCACATACCCAACATACAACAAAAGAAAATCAACTATTTACTAAATTTAATTCTAATTTGTAACCACATAACCTCAACGTGTGACTCTTGACCAATTGAAAATCAACTCTGCGTGGGTTTAAATCAAAAAAAAAAAAAAAAAAAACAGAAAAAAAAACCAAATAAAAAGGGAAAATCCCAAAAACGAAAACTGTAAAACATTAAATTAAAATTTTTAGCAATTGTTGTCGACTTAACTTAAAAAAATAATAAAAAAACAATTTACAATATAGACAAAAGTTAACATGAGTTTTAACCGAAGACCATTGGATTGGATTATATTGATGTAGTTTCGAGGCACAACATTTTTAAAGCACAACTGCAAAAACAACAACAAAAGTTTCGTATTTGAAAAATGTTTACCTCAGTTTGAAGCAGAGTATGCTTTTAGTAGCTATTAGCTAGTTGGTGTTTAAATGCATCTGTACTTAAGACGCACACTCAAACACACACGCACGCACACACACACACACACACACACATACAGAGACACTAGCGGTTTTGGAAGAGTTGTAAAAGTAGAAAGAGCATTGATAGTGTCTTCCAACTGCTCCCGCTAAACAATAACCCTCAATAAGACTTAGTTTCAGTTCTAGGGTATGTCATCCAATAACTTTTCCTAGCCCCCAAAACAAATACCACTAAAAAAGAAAACATCCAAATATTCATTGAATTTATGTCACTCAGGCTGCTATTTGGAATTGAAAATTCGACAACCTTTTTGCATTAGTAGATGTATATCGATAACAATAACGATAATAACCCGTTATCGACTTCTTTAACAAGTGTCATTTTCCATGGTTTGTTAACTTAATTTTAGGCTACAAAAAGAAAAGAAAAACCAAATATTAAAAACACCAGTTTATTTGATGGTTTTTTTGGTACATGTTTCTAATTTTATTAATTTATATAATATATTAATTCTTATTTTTTCTACTATGCAAAATAATTTTAAGAAAAAAAAACAAACAAAATATTTAAGTAAATCTAACAAACAAGAAACTATTATATGTATATTTTACGTTTCTAGGTACACAAATACAGACACAAATGCGCAGGCACAAACACACACACACACATACACACAAATATATAAATATATATACACTATATAACTGTATATGTAATACAAACATACATACATAAATGTAAATGTTATCGCAAAAAAAGTATTAGTGAAAAGTTTCGACCAGTTAAAACACAAACAAAATAAATTTATTATAACAAATTTAAACATACAACAATTTCAAAATGAATACAAAACATAAACAAAAAAGAAAAACACGTTTAAACTAAGCATACATTTAGTTTTAAATAAAGTTTAATATATTGCAACAATAAACAACATGAAAATAAAACTGAAATTCAATGAAAAATGCATTCAAAAATATCCGAATTTTATTTCACAATGCTTTTAATGTATGAAATAAGCGTTTCGAATACTCTTTCCGAACTATGGCGATATTTGGGCGAATGATAGGGAGAGTATGGAATGAGATAGATATATATATATATATATATATATATATATATATATATATATATATATATATATATATATATATATATATATAGAGAGAGAGAGAGAGAGAGAACGAATTTTATTTGAGGCATTCATATGTATGAATTAAAATAATATGCGAATAAGTGGCTATAATTGAGTGGGTAAGAAAGAGAAGGAGAGTGTAGGCTTAGAAAGAGAGAGGGAGTAAGCAAAAATAGAGAGTTCATTTCTTAAATATATTCCAAAACAATAGTTCTCTAAATAGCAGAAGGTATTTTTCTTTGTTGTTCAAAAACTATTTGGATTGATAAAAAAAAAAATAACCTTAAAGAATCAGAATAATTATTTTTAAAAAACATTTTAGGCATTTATTACATGGACTCTACATATTTCTTTGAAAATAACAGAATTTAACAAAGTTTTACGGGAAAAACGCAAATAGTTTTATTGGCAAGTGCACGAGTGCATTCATCTTAGTGGGACACCCTGTTGTGACGGCCCAGCAGAAAACACGGCAAAAAGCACACTGAGCAAACACTGTCGACAGTCGACAGTCGACAAAGCGTTGATTTTGCTGCCACTGCCACTGTCTCTGCGGCTGCTGCGGCGGCTGCTGCTGCTGCTGATGATGTTGTTGTTGTTGTTGTGAGGCGGCGTCGGAGTCTGTGCTGACGGCAACATGGCATTCATTTGTGCTACATGCATAGCTATTTCATGTATGTGTGTGTCTTCTGTGTGCGTGTGTGTGGGTGTGTGTGTGTGTGTGTGATTGTGTCTCTCGGTGTTTTAGCTCTCTCTTGGTATGCGTGCAGCGAGCAGCGAGCAGCTCTCTACCTGGCCGAGACCAACTGCACTACCACTTTCACAATGTGCGCGCTAGCGCTGTAAGCCAAGCAGTCGCAGCAGCAGCAGCAACAGCAGCGCAGCCGTAGCAGCAGCAGCAATCGCAGCAACAAAAGCAACAAGCAAAACAAAAAACACACAGATAGCGACGACGGCGTGTTCGAATGTTCGAAAGTTCGAAAATGAATGCACGCCACAAAATGAACAGCTCAAAAGCTACAAAAGCGCAAAAATACCAGGGCCGGTTCAGCAGGGCGCGCGATATTTGCATATAAATTGCAAAATGTAAGTTGCTATGCTAAGCTATGCCAAGCATACGGTCATGTCTTGCTTCAGTCAAGTTTCAAGCCAAATTTTGGTGTTGGTACTGAGTTCGTTGCCTAAGTCATTTGTTATTGCACAAAAGAAGTAATAAGTGCGCACCCGAACAACGCGCTCGGAAGAGAGTTATGCAGGTGCACGCACACACAGACAGGCGGCGACAGGCGCAGGGACACAAGTGAGTTGCTGCTACCTGTGTGTGCGCGTGCGTGTGTGTGTGTGTGTGTGTGTGTGTGCTGCCAGTGTAGAGACAACCTCATCGATTCGATGAATTTCTGTTGAGTTTCGCCTGCGTCGACAGCGACGCGCTCGCTCAATATCAGTTACGAAAGAGATGAAACCATAAAAAGCAATAATAATCGAGCTCTCTCACACACACAGACGCACACATACTCACCTGCACAGACACGCGGAGCGCACACATACAGCGACAGCACCTTGCATACGAATATATACGAATACAGTGGTAAAAGGCGAGCAGCATTAGCAGCGACTGCGCAGCAGCAACAACAGCAGCAGCAGCAGCAGCAGCAACAGGCGTCGACTGAAGCAGCAGCGGCAGCAACAACACATTCAACAGTTGAACAATCTCCAATTGACTCTTTGGGCATTATAGCCGAGCTCAACGTTCATCCGCGACAAGTTTTTCGTACCTTTCGTGCAGGCGAGTTACATTTTTTTCGCTTTGGCTCTTCAAAAAACGCAAATTAATTATTAACAAAATTAAACAATAACAGCAACCACAACAACATCAACAACAACACTCCGTCTGAAATTTATGTTACTTTAGTGCAGAAAAAAATACACAATAAAATTAAAAAAATAAATACACATAAAGAAGGAAAAAAAACAGAATTCGTTCGCGTTCGTTTCGTGTGTGCGTGTGTGTGTGTGCATGTGAGAGTGTGTGTGTGTGTGTAGTCGCTTTGATCTATGCGTGTCTGTGAGTGTGTGTGTGTGAGTGGCTCTGTCGTGCCTGCTGTCTGTGTGCGCGTGTGTGCAAGTGTGTGTGTGTGTGTGAGCCAAAACGAGACGCCATCAAAGCAAAGCTGAGCAACAGCAGCAGAAATAAAATTCAAAATAAAAAGTGATTTAATAACAAAGCAGAAGGGCGAAAAGAACAAACAAATGAAAAAGAGCGCGTAAAAAAAATACACACACAAAAAAAGTAACTTACTTAAAACAACAACAAACAACAACAACAACAACATCAACAGCAACAGCAACAATCAAAAAGCGCGCTCACAATGAAAAATGTATAAACTGTTAACTAAAGTACAAAATCACAAGCAACAACAGCAACAACAACAACAACAAAGAGACGCAAATGCTGCTCGCTTCCATTGCCGCCCCGC